CAATTATGCTCAGACTTAAAAGCATGACAAAAACAGTTTTTATGACTAAGATAAATTTGTAACTGAAGAATGAATTAAAGTATTTTTAATATGCAAGAAGTCATCTCTATGAAGATGTTCTCCAGAGGGAACACTTGAGCTTTGTTTTGATCAAATGTCTAAAAAATTGCATATTCACTTACCCTTTGTGATCAACAACTAATCAATTAATCTACAGTATAGAATAATAGGCCAACTAATCGATTATCAAAATAATAGTTACAGAATAATAGTTGGTTATAACTATAATAGTGAAGAAGACGACAAAGTCTGGGATCGCGTCTTTAATTCAGACAGAAGACATGTTTTATTGTCAATGGTAGTGATAATATAGCATGGGAGAATGAAGTCCTCCAATCAGCAGCTGCCACAGTGCCAGCAGAGATAGTCAAAAGAAGTAGTGGAAAAGTACAGGCTTCTGCACATTGATATAATGATGAGTTTAACAAAAGTTGCTTAAAAGTGTTATGAAATCTCACATTCCCCCCTCTGGTCATACATTCATGTGTGACCATCAGGATTGATAAACAGCAACATAACATCATAACTCAATACTTCAAAAACTCATAAACTCGGTACTTCAACTTGGAATACTTCAAAAACTCAAAAAACATGTTCAGATCTTTCATAAAACTCGTCAACAATCTTCAGTAAAATACCAAACTTCATCAGTCGATGGTGGTTCCAGATATTGCTTTGAAAACAGTCTCTCCCACTTCTCCGTGTTGATTCTTTCAGGCAGCATTTCTTGTGTCGAGCCATGAATTCTTCTGTGACGTGTCTTTCAATCGCACGTTTCAGCTTTAGTGTCCAGATTCAGAAATCCAATTCAGTCCAAATTATGTCAAAATTCAGATATCCAATTGTTCCAAATTATGTCCATGCAAAAGAGGACGCTGGTGTTGTCCATGTCTCAGCAGCTCACAGCCTGACTGGAATCAGGGGCTGTGCAGATTGTCCATGTGTGCTGATCCAGATGCATGGGTTCTCTTGAGGTTTTTCAGTTTTGGCTTAAAAAAAACACATTTTTGTGTAAAAAAAAAAGTATTCTGTTCTGTAGATGTTACAGACAATGCCCGCATCCTTCCACCACCTGAAGAAGATGACAAAGTCTGGGATCGTGTCTTAAATTCAGACAGAAGATATGTTTTATTGTCGATGCTAGAGACAGCACAAACAACACGAACAAAGGATGTAACAAACTGTTAGTGATAATATAGCATGGGAGAATGAAGTCCTCCAATCAGCAGCTGCCACAATGCCAGGAGAGATAGTCAAAACAAGTAGTGGAAAAGTACTGGCTTCTGCACATTGATATAATGATGAGTTTAACTTTAACCAAAGTTGCTTAAAAGTGTTATGAAATCTCACAATAGTTAGACCTTTATTTTTACTAAACCAATGTTCTGACTAGTCTGAACTTACTGTTATCGGTTTCATCCCATCAAATATTTGACCTCCTAAATACAAATTGTTACTTAATTAGTCTATCATAAGGATTATTAAGACCAAACCTGGACTCCTTTATCTCTTAAGTGAGTATAAATCAGATCAAAATGTAAATTAATTGCTAAAGCATGCATGAAATGTATGACAACTTTGCAATATCCTTGATCATAGCATTGACGCAAACTATATTCTAAGCAAAAAAGTCTTTGTCTGCTCTCCATTTTTTATTGTCTGTTTTGTGATGATGCCTTAAATTGTATCTGGGTCAAAGCAGGAATCCTGTAAACTGAAATAGTGGTGTTAGTATTAGATAGCAATATGGCCTACGTGCAGGACTCTACAAGGACTCTACAAGGACTCTACAAGGACTCCATGTTATGACTATGATTTGACTGTCTCTTTGTGACACGTATGTCTTTCGATGTGTAACGTGACAATGACTATATAAACTGTGTACTGCCTTTATTCTGTCTGAGAGAAAGAAACAAAGTAAACCAGTGGAACTTGAGAGAAACTTAAATAAACTTCCATAGTTTGGCGCACCACGATCCGTCTCTGTCTGCTTCATCCCTGACAGTGGCATTGTCCAAATAAAGGATACATTTTCCTTGAATTGGCTTTTAGTCCATCAAGACAATCGCAGCTGTTTCCTCACCAAACTTCCAGTAGTCTTCCGAGGGCCACTCTTCTACTTCATGAGCAGTTAAGCAGCAGAACGCAGAGCAACGCATCCTCCTTAAAAACCCACCCCCTCCCAAATAAAGAGACAAATTGTCCCTTGCTTGTCCTCTCCTCATCCCGGCCACCCCTCCCCCCACCTGGACACTCTTTACATTTCTGGGGGAGGGATTGGCATGTATCTGTGCTGCAGGAAGACTCAGCTTTATGTAAATGACTGCACTATCAAGTACGATGACCCACCGGGATTGTTCCTTCGCTCGCAGAGACAACACCAAATACTATACATACAGGTGAAGCACGGAAATGTAGAATATTGTTCAAAAGTTTATTCATGTAATTCAACTTAAAATGTGAAACCAATATGTCATAGACTCATTGCATTCAAAGTGACATAAATACTGCCTTGCCTTGTTTTATTAATTAGTCGCCAAAGTGTGCTACTATAAATGACTGTATTTATTGAAATGATTTGACATATTGATTGACTTCTGGGCGTCCTATGTGTGTGTTAGTCGTGTAAATGAATTGTGTTGTGGAATGTATGAATTCGCACTTTTTAATCACAATGATGACAGCAGACTGATTTATTCATAGAGATGGAAAATAGAAATGTATATTCATATTTATGGCAACGTGAATGTGTGAGTGTTGTGGACCCTGTATTGGGACTTTGCAAAGCCCCACTGCTGTTTGGCTTCAGTCATTTACAAAATGGTGATATGTCTTCACTTTGTGGCAGTAATAGTGACTGAAGGCAGAAGAACTGAGTCAGGGACATGTGTTATCCTTTTTTTATTTATTTAAATGAAACAAAAAAATATATGTTGTGTTGTAAAAATTCTCCCAGGAATTTTTTGTTGTTTTGTTCTCATTCTTTTGTTGCCCATGTGTGTGGGTGCTAGGGGTGGGAACCTCAGGGTACTTCACGATACGATACAATACACAGTACAAAGCTCACGATAACGATTATATCACGATAACAATTATATCACGATATGACGATTATCGATATATTGGTCATACATAAAAGAGAAAAATGTTAATTGAAAAAATACACTTTATTTCATGATAAATGGAATGGAGATGTGTAATGTAGTCATATATCAAGTATTGATAATAATAAAAAAAGAAAAAAGAAATGAAAAAAGAAATTTTTATATATATATATATATATATATATATATATATATATATATATATTATTATTATTATTATTTTTTTAAATTGATTTTTGGCAATTGCATATCGATAATCGATCGCGGGAGAAAGTCACACTCCTAGTGGGTACAGGGCTATGTACAGGGATATTTTTATATAGCTCAAAAAAGCATTCAAATCAAATCAAAACTTTCCTTCTTTCACCTTTCACAATGCTCCCCTTAAATATGGACACATAACTTAAATGTTGTAGTTTCCAAACATTTCAATTGAATGAAAAAGTAAACATGTAAATAAAAAACTCTTTGCCCAGACCTAAAGCAACAGTCTTTTGAACCAACAAACTCAAATACTTTCTTCCAAAACTGTACACTGTTGAGTCCTATTTGCATTTTAACTGATGTCCGGCGCCTCTTGGCTCTGATAGAAAGAGCAGCAGCATTATTGTACCTCTTTGTGGGTGTGAGAACATTCAGGATTATAAACTTCCGCTGGAGCAGTATGTCAGTCAATCGCACTGGTCTCACAAAGCCCCTGTCACTCTGCAGTTAGAGGGGGGCTGGATGAGGCAGGGGGGGACGGACATGATGATGATGATTATGGGGATCCAGAGATTATGGGGAAAAAGGGGCCACAGTTGTTTTTTGGGCTCGTCCTCTGAACTGTCAGACTACACGCTCCATTGACCTCATTGTGCAAACAGAGCCATGACACACTTTGAAGTCACTGCTGAGCTATTGTTTCTAAATGACCCGGACAAGTGCATCTGAAAGGCTTTCAAAACATGTCTCCGGTTCAGTTATAGCTAAAAATTTCTTTGGATCTGGTGGAAAACGGTTTTATTTGCCGATTTGTGTTCGTTATGAATGTTAAATGAATGTCGCTTTATCTACTTATTATCCTGCCCTATATGTATACAACTTTACAGTAGGGACGAAAAATGGTTATCATATCTTATCTTTTTTTAAAAGCGACTTTCTTCAGAAACAGCGTTGAAAAGGAAACGTCTCGTTATATTTGGTCTACAGTTTCTCTACATATCACAAGAAGGAGTAGGAACTAGAGCTGCACTACATCATTAATAATATGAATGTAAATTGTGCAACATATGTACTACATATACTTTATTCCACACAAAGCGGATGGTGGTGATTGATGTAAAGATTTGATAGAAGTACTGTTAAGATGGGTTTATATTACATAATACGCAGTTCCAGGGCAGAAACCAACATAGAATATTAGATGGTCACTTTGTTACACATATTAATGATACTTTCTTAAGTACTGTGTAGTCGTGCAATCTATAATGTAATCTTTTCATGCATAAGCTAGAGATCTTGATACACTGGTTTGAAAGACCGACACAGACCCACACAGACCAACACAGACCAACACAGACCAGCACAGACCAACACAGTGAGAGGAGGGATTAGCAAACACTGCAGTTCCATTGATTTATTTTTTGATTGAACATGTGATAATAGTATTGCATATTGTTTGTTTTTATAATATCGTACAGCCCTAATAGTAACAATCAATCCATGACAAGCGGTCTTATATATCCAGTAGTGTTCCCTAAGACAAAAATGATACAAATGAAGTTTCAAGTATCAATACTGAAAAAAGTTACAGAAACAGTGCAACATCTGACTTGTGTGTTGGTGTGTCCGCAGCCCTTCCACCCCATGGTGAACCTGCAGTGCTCTCCTGACCTGCGCATGTTCCTGTGCGCGCTCTATGCCCCCGTGTGCACGGAGTACGGACGCATGACGCTGCCGTGCCGCCGCATCTGTCTGCAGGCCAAGAGCGACTGCTACAAGCTCATGGAGATGTTCGGAGTGGGCTGGCCCGAGGAAATGGACTGTAGCAGGTAAATCAAGCGGTTTTGTTCGTGTAGTTTTGTACCCTAACCCTCACCGTGCTTTGTAACGCGATAGTTCCGGACTTTAGGTCACAAAAAATAGTTTTGAGTGTGACATATTGGTGCAAATATATAATCAAATCTGTGATACCTAACATTTTTCCTTTCATAAATACTTACTATAACTATACTATTTTGTTTAATTTTTATTTTACTGAACCTTTTAAAAGTAAAACATGCTGTCTTTATCTTAAAACATACTTGTAAAAAAGAGTCTTTAGCAGCGGCCATTAGAATCATTTCAAGAAAAAAAACTTTTACACAAGTGATTCATTATTCGCCATAGCAGAGATCAGATTAGTTTCCCACAGCAGAGAAAAGAATCAATCAATCAGCTTTTATTTGTAGAGCGCCTTTCCTACGCATGGCAACACAAAGCGCCTCACAACTCATATCACATCAGGCATAAATCATAAACATTAACATCTACATAAGCATTTCAAAATACAATAAAAACAAACATTCAGATCACTATAAATATAACAAACGTAAAAAATAAAATCATACGAGTAATTAAAAACCTTAAGATATTATAATCACACATGGGATTAAAATCATGGATCAAATCGTAATTCTAAATCACGCTCCGTCTTCTTCTCTTGTAGGTTCCCGGATTGCGACGAGCCCTACCCGCGGCCCTTCGACCTCCTCTCCAACGCAGACACCACGGAGTCCCCCATCTCCGTCCAGCGCGACTACGGCTTCTGGTGCCCACGAGAGCTGAAGATCGACCCCGAGCTGGGCTACTCCTTCCTGGGCGTGAAGGACTGCTCCGCCCCCTGCCCCAACATGTACTTCACGCGCCAGGAGCTAACGTTCGCGCGCTACTTCATCGGCGTGGTGTCCATTGTGTGCCTTTCCGCGACCCTCTTCACCTTCCTCACGTTCCTCATAGACGTGTCCCGGTTCCGTTACCCCGAGCGGCCGATCATCTTCTACGCCGTGTGCTACATGATGGTGTCGCTGGTGTTTTTCCTGGGCTTCCTGCTGGAGGACAAGGTGGCCTGTAACGCGGCGGTCCCGGGACGCTTCAGAGCCGCCACCATCACTCAGGGATCACACAATAAGGTGTTTATGTAATCGTTTAATTTAAGATTAAGATTAAGAGACCCTTTATTTGTCCCGCAGAGGGGAAATTTCAGTCTTGCATCACCAGTTACAGTACAGTAGGAATGATAAGCAGATAAATGAATGATAACTCTATACAAAAATAAAATTAAACAAAATCTCTAGCATCAACTAAGTCTAGAGAGGGTGGTGTCCGTTGCTACCTGGTTTTAGTGTTATTCCATCATCAAATACAAATTATTTTAATTTTATTTTTTTCTCTCCAAGGCAGAGCTCAAATGCCTGTTTTCGGTTCATTATACAAGCCCATGCCTCTTCCAGCTGATTCATTTTTTGTTTTTTACTTACTTTTACTGCTACTTCTACTTTAACTTTTTATGAGGTTTGGACTTTGCAGCACTAAAGCATTTTTAAACTAACAAAAGGTTACATGATGATTATTCATATATTTTTGGTAAACAATTTGCTTTGAAACCCCGCTAGACCGAAGCTAATATTTGAATCTAATGAGATGTATGAAAGAAAACCGAAGAACATATTAAGATCCATTACTAAAAATCACTAAGGATTTAGTATTTAATATAATATTTCTTAAACATTTTCTGACAGTAGTTGCTATAATGTGTAGTGTGTAATTAAAATAGTGAATGAATAGATAATTAATGAAAATAAAGGCAGAAAAGTTGTGTACATGTAAGTGAACTAATAAAGAAAAACGTACCGGTAGGTGAAACATAAAAATAGGTTAAAAAAGGAAAAATAACTAGTGCCTTTTTAGATGTTTATTTTAGTAAAACGCCTTTCATTTTATAAATACATCTTTTATCTCAGTCTTCTGTCCTATAATTGTATAATTGTAACTAAACGTTCTCTGCACGTTCCTCCAGGCATGCACTCTCCTCTTCATGGTGCTGTACTTCTTCACGATGGCGGGCAGCGTGTGGTGGGTCATCCTCACCATCACCTGGTTCCTGGCCGCGGTTCCCAAATGGGGGAGCGAGGCCATAGAGAAGAAGGCCCTGCTGTTCCACGCCTGCGCCTGGGGGCTGCCCGGTGTGCTCACGGTCTCTCTGCTCGCCATGAACAAGATCGAGGGCGACGGCGTGAGCGGCGTCTGCTTCGCGGGCCTCTACAACCTCACCACTCTGCGCTGGTTCCTCCTGGTGCCGCTCGGACTGGACGTAGTGGTGAGATTTTGTCATTCTGCTTGTAGCACTTCATTATTTGATATTTTATTTTTGTATATTCATTTCAATTATTTATGTTATTTTTTTTTCATGTAATCTTTTCTTTTGCCATTGTTGACCAATCGAACTCTAAAAGCAAAAACTCAAAAATAAAGTATACTTAAAAGAAATATTCAGAACAATAATCTTATAACTTTCAGAGACAATCCCTGGGTTTCAGAATGACAAAAAATAAGTGAAAAATACAATATTGTTTTTAAAAGCTAAAATAAAGCTAGCTGTGTTTTATAGCTGTGTATTTGAAAATTATTTTTATCTTTGGTGGGGAAAGAATAATTCTGAAGGATGAAGGGACAAATGAGAAAGATGTGTAAAAAGAAGTGCAAAAGGACCAAAGCATTGTGATTTTCCCATTGAAAAGAATGAGCAGACCCAGAGCTTGTGTGAAAGCGTGAATTGTTTTTTAATAAAGTGCTATTATATTATTAAATTATGATTAATTTAATTATAAATTATGAATTTGATGTTGCAAGACGCCACTTGAGTTTGCAGTATTTTCTTTGTTTTGCGTATTTCACATTCATACGCATTTGTGCTGATGATAATTCAACTAAGAAAATCTTGTAAAATGTAATTGGCTATAAAAACTGTGGACATGACAATACATCATATCACAATTACATTTCAAATACTTGTAGTCCTGTCACACAAATGAAAAGGAGCAAAAAGAGGACAAAATCTTTTGTTGGCTGTCCCTTTCTTTAAACCTGTATAAATTAGATAATACATAATTAATACGAACTTCAGAACTCCTTTTTTTCATTGTATTTATTTGTTTTCAAAATAATTTGTTTGTTTTTTATTGTACAGTTATTTTCTCATCTTTTCTAATCATTCATTTCATACAATGTTGCAGAACTTGTTTTTTTGTATATGTGTATCTACTACGCAAAGAATGATGTCTGTTCCCAGTCCATGACAGTTGGATGTGGCTCTCTCTCAGGTGGGCGTGGCGCTGCTCCTCGCCGGCATCGCTGCTCTGAACCGCGTGCGCATGGAGATCCCTCTGGAGAAGGAGAACCAGGAGAAGCTTGTGAAGTTCATGATCCGGATCGGGGTCTTCTCCGTGCTGTACCTGGTGCCGCTGCTCACCGTGTTGGCCTGTTACATCTACGAGAACAGCTACAGGGGCGTCTGGGAGACCACCTGGATCCAGGAGAGGTGCAGAGACTACCACATCCCCTGTCCCTACCAGGTAACCGCCGCAAACACACTCACATGAAACCCTCAAGGCGCCACGGTTGACTTAAGTCGACAATATGCGGTACTGTTTTTAAAAAGGCCGATGTTGTCAAAATGTATTCAAACTCCCTGCCACACAATGATGTACCGTTTTACTATTTCCCAGACCATTGAGTGAGGTACAGTGTGAGTTCTGTTTGTGTGTTCATGACCTAGTGATTTGTGTCCGTCAGTAAAAACATATACATTTTTATGAAAATCCACTATTGCCAACACCATATGAAGTCATAATATGCAAATTATAATGGTACATTTAATTCCTAAATAAACTTTGGGCCATCCTTATAATTTCTCTAATTTGCACAAAGCCTCTATCTCTTATCACTTTCAAGTTATTAAGAAATTAACATGTCAAAATTTAGCCTTTTACGAAAAAACCTGGCGCCTAAAGGTTTAAACAGAAGGAGCTACATATTCTTCTAAGTAAGGGCCATGTGAGTCAGTTTATGCCTCTTTGGGCTGCACGGGCAATCCATCCAATTCATTTGTGAGAGAAAAAGCCGCTCTATGATTGCACTAGTGGCCAAACATTCATGCATGTGAATACTATTGCTTTGTGGCAGATGGATTTGTGAATAATACATTTATCGTGCTTTGATTTATTCTAACTGGTGCAATATCTTCTGAAATTGCCCTGTGCTTAATGCAAGGGTAGCAAAGTTCTTAATCATTCCAGTGAGTTTTTACTAGTCTAGGGCGGCACGGTGGCTGAGTGGATAGCACTCTCGCCTCTCAGCAAGAAGGTCCTGGGTTCGAATCCCGGTCGGACCAGGGCCTTTCTGAGTGGAGTTTGCATGTTCTCCCCGTGTCTGCGTAGGTTTCCTCCGGGTACTCCGGTTTCCCCTACCACTAAAAACATGTCCAATAGTTCTGGCATGCGCCTCCTGTACTGGCGACCCGGCTCCCATCTCTGTGTGGAGTGAGAGACAAATGCCCAAAAATTAACAATTGTAAACCGCTTTGAGACTCAGATCTGCAGTGAAAAGGCGGTATATAAATAAAAACTTACTTACTTACTTACTAGTCCACAATTGTGCTTTATTCTTGTGCAAAATGTCTTGAAATGGCCTCGTGTTTAACCCAGTTCTATGCTACAACATTTGTGGTGAAACCTGAAATGTCAAAGTAAACACACTTATTTGGTTCAGTTGTGTTAAAATATTTGTTTGTAGTGGTGAGGAAACAGCTGGCAGAAGGAGCCTGAGGTGTAGAGCCTTTTGAGCAGAGCAACTGAAGTCACATCTGTGGAAAATACAGAGTTTGAAACAGCCTCCAGCAGCAGCCCACACAGACAGTCCACAGACCTGTCAGTGACTCAGTGGGATTAAACATGTTTTACAGAGGATAGAGAAGAGAAATATAAACTGCTGTTAGAATCACTGGTCTAAACGTAAAGTATTTTTTTTATAAATTGTATGTGTTTGTTTGACGTTAAGCAAGTCAATGTTAAAACTTGCATTCTTTTTGGGAGTGGAGACATGTTTAAACAGATCTGACTCATAACTATTATTTCAGTATTTCAAGGAAAGCAATAACATCTCCATGGTGACACAGAAAGTGCACCACATGTATTTATATTATAGGCGAGTCTAAATCACCTCTTAAAACTGTATCTCAATATTCATGACCGCTGTATTCATGGCAGTCACTGGGGTCTTCTTCCTCCATATGACCAGCTCTTTCTCTGAGTGCTGCTGGCTCACACACATCAGGGCAGTGTATAGACGTGTGTAGGTGGAATGCATAAAAAGTCCACAGTCCTTCAAAGAGCCCGGCTATATTTATCAGCAAACTTCTCCCCGAGGCTCCAGTCTTCACAGAGCAGACAAAAAGACGAGCTTTCAAGTGCCTCATCCTTTTCACACCAGGTACCACCCCCGGGAGTCGTCCCTCTCACTGCGAATGTGTATAGAAGTAGAAGTAATGATAGTGGGATTAGTAATGTGGAATTGTGATTGTATATATACTGGTCAATTAACACTATATTTATTGTATGTGCACAATGAAACTTGATAAATTGCTTCACTTTGCTTTACGCACACGTCACACACGTTTTGCCGCACAACGCTACAAATAACATGTGCTTTAGATCGTAATATGCTCCTGAAATAGCTTTAATTAAACATAAGAACAAGATAAATCAATCTGTCAAATCTAGGCCAGATCTACACCAAAATGTTCATGTTTGCGTGATTTTAACAAAAACTAAAACTACAAGATAGTCTACAGAATCATCTATGCACGAGTCTTAGAACTAAATGTGAAATAACTTGTTTTAGATCTTGTTTTAGCCACATTTTTTCAAACACAGAAAAGTCAATACAAGCATCATACATAGTCTCTCATTTATTGCTCTATTACACTTTTGAGACTAAAATCATAATTTTTGCCTTAATCAAGTTTTTGTCTCCCAACTTCAGTTTTCTAGAACCGGGCCTTTTGTAAATGGATGCTGAGGTTAGAGGCGAGACTGGAGGCCTACAGGCGAGACAGAGCAGCACTACGATGTCAAATCACTGCTTAAATAATGAATAGTATTTCTTCGATAGAACAGATCCGCTCCACGCATCATCTGCAACGACACAAAAACATACGACTGTTCGCTCATAGCTGCTGGTTGAACAGATGAGGCACTGTCCAGGCCTCTATTATAGGATAATAGATGTGGATAAAGGATAGATAAATGTGGAACCCAGATCTAAAACAAGTTATTTCATATTTAGTTCTAAGCTTTGTATAAACCACGTGCAAAGATGAAGAGATCCTTTCTTCGTGCCACAGTGGATACATTGCAGTGTTGTATCACCAGTTCCAGAACAGTAGGAATGAGCACACAACACAAGGTAAATGAACACAGCACAATATTAGATAAATAAACACAGCTCTATACTAAACAACTCTATATTAAACTCTCTACTAAATAAACCAACATAAAATAAAATCTCTAGCTTTAGCATAATAAGGAAGCCAACTATAATCTTAAATAAATTAAGTACAACATATCTGACTTAAAGTAGCAGTATGTAATATTTGTATGTCAAGTCATCATTAAATGGCCCCAATATTTCAAAAGGCGTTATTAAATCATGCTCTTTTCGAATACATCTTTAACTGATAAGAGGTTCAGCCGAGATTTTGAATATCAAAATTAGTTTTACGACCCGTAAAAGTTATTGTTTTCATTTAATCTCCCACCCGCCACTGTTTCGCCAATCAGGAAGTGAGTGATCTGTGTTGCCAGAACTCCTCGCGGCTAATCTTAGAGGTAAAATAACATGTGGCCACAGAACTAAAAAAAGGTCTTGTTATTACTCTCAAATCATTAATGACAAAACAAAGACTAAAACAAGGATTTATATCAGGACGCCTTTGAACAATTGAGACAGTGGATACAAGTTTTTGTGTGATGCAAAACTTTCTGGATTCAGCCCGTTTTCCTCCGTAGCAATCATAGTGTGTGTTGGTGGCCTAATGGTTAAGGCACAGAGATCATGTTCTAGGGACCCGGGTTCGAGTCCGGGCGGTGTCTACTGAAATTGCATAATATTACATTTGATGACAGATTGCTCAAAATCAGCTCAAGTTTTTTGCCAATTTATAGCTTATTTGTAAAAAGAATAATTTGAGACCACATGTACCCCAATTAAAATAATGTTTGTCTCTATTTGATGTGGGACTTATACATTGAACTTATAAAAATTGAAGGATGATATCCTCTGGAGGAAACCCTGATGTTGATACACTGTAGAAATATGTTCCAACATCCATTCTTCCCACTCCTATCTTAGGCTATATCCACACGAAGACAAAACGCTTATAATTTCAGAAACTTTTTTCTGTAAACACGGAGTTAGCTCAGTAAATGTGTGCGTCCATATGAATGTAGTCAATACGCCTGAAAACGCTGTGAAACTATGCCAGACCTGTTGGTGGCGCTGTGACGCAATGACGGGATCAAGCCCAAACTTCCGTGGGCATGCGCGGAATTTTGTAAACAGACAACATGGCGAGTGGGCGAGCTGGTACTACATTAGTATGGACGGACGATGAGGTTGAACTGTTGCTTCGGGTCACACTGGATTACAAAACCAACAAGCTACATTGTTGTTGTCATTATTTTCTGAGTGCGGCGCATGCGTGCTTTAACAAGAGGCGGGGCGATGACGCAAGCGTCTCAGATACATTGCGGAGAGGCAGTAACCACGGAGCGGCATATACGGAGTTTTGAAATCTTTCCACTCTGGGACCTACTTTCAAAAATGTTCGTTTACACCCCCCCAAAACGCCGGCCTCGTATGGACGATACACTGGATTGATAAAGTATTTTTGCGTTTAGGCCTGAGCTTGACTTCGTGTGGACAGGGCCTTAGACATCAATTGTTTATTTATTTTGCATAATCTACTGTATGTATAATTACATTTCTTTTATTTTGTTTTCCTCATTTCAAATGTCAAATAAAAAAACATTCATTCAAAACATTCAATCAACATTAGCACGGCTATCATGGCACAACAACTGATAAAATAATTCCTTGTGTTTGCTGCTGGATTTTGATATTACATACTGCTGCTTTAAGCGCAATAAAGAAGCAAGTATAAAGTACTGTATATTCTAGTACAGAAATACCATTTATAGTTGTATGTTTACATCTGTACATGTTAGCAGCATGAGGGTCTGGGACATAGTGACGATGGACACATCATATTGCACATTCTGACATTGGTACAAGACATCGCACCGATATGTGAGGTTGTTTCGTTAGTCCTCATTGTTCGTTGTACAGTCCGACATAAAACTAAGACGTAATGCAAAATAACAAACTGCGTACGAGCCTGAGTGATTGGTCGTATGCCGTGGCTGAGAGCAGTGTGCGATCCTGTGTGAGTGGAAGCTGCTGCTGCTGCTGCTGCTGGGGCTATGGTCCTGTCACAGCAGTAATGAGACATGCCTCAGGCCCCGCTCCTCCTCTGTGCTCCTAATGAGGCCATCAGGGCTCATCCGTGTGCCACTGATACAGAAACCAAAAATAAAATGTTGTCATGGCCAAATGTATCTTGGTTGGAGTATATTTTGCCTTTTGTAATGCAGAACTTGTCGCTTCACTTTACTCATCTGTGCAAAAATATCTACAGTATAATAATGTCAGAATGTACGATATAGAACCACATGTGTTACTGTCACTTTACTGAGTCACTTTGTCCCAGACCCTCATGCTGCTAACATGTACAGATGTAAACATACAACTATATATTACTTGCATTAGTATACAGCCTTTCATACTAGCTCATTATTCTGCTATAGTCAATGGTTTTTGTATTTAATTCGTGCATCTTCATCATGCTAAAGATAGAGATTTTATACTGCTTATTTTTATGCTACAGTTAGATGATTTGATTTTATTGTATTTTAGTATAGCATAAGTATTCATCTATCGTGTGCTGCGTGCTCCTCATTCCTATTATTCTGTAACACTGAAATTTCCCCCCTGTGGGACTTATAAAGGATTTCTTCATCTTAATTTTGCCATAGAACAAGCCGCCGTAGTATTATTTCGAGGACAGTGCTTTCCTTTGTCATTCCAAGACAAAAATTGCTAGTCAAGTTTTAGTCTTTTACCTGGTGGATTTTGTTGATAATGCGTGTTTGTAAAGCCTGGGTCTTGGAACAGTATCATATTAGTGATGACAGCCACTGATTCGCTGTCGGATAAAAAGCGATGACAGAAGCGTTGAGGGGAACAGAAGTGGGACAGTGCTGAGGAGTATCCGTGATCGCACAGAAGGAGATAAGACCCAGAACAGGAAGCCAAACCGGGACGAGCTCTGAGTGGCTGCTGTGATCTGACTCTGTGAGCGCTCCAGCGGACACACCGGACACCACCAGACCCACAAGCCTAAATACTAGAGTCCCCAGGGCCTGCTGTAAGGGCCTCACACAAGACACTATCCAAACAAGTGTCCTTTAACATCCAGAGAGAGCTTTTAAAACTATCAAGCACATGTTGTAACTACAGTCTGATGCAAACGACACTTACAATACCACAGTTTCACTATGTAGAGAATAATGTGGAAGGGAATATTGTACGTAGTTACTCTAGCCATCTCACTATAAGGCTTCTGTTTTTGCTGTGAAATCAAGCAGTCATTCAATCATTTATTTGTATAGCCCAATTCGTGTACAAGGCAATTCAAAAACGCAAACAATAAATTGATATAAAAGTCATTGAAATATACAATCGTTCCATATTAAAAAGAACAGTATGGGGTGTAAAACTCATTAAAATGGGGGTTTAAAAATAAGGGAGAAAGCAATTACTAGTACAAAATAGAATTAGTTGTATGCACAGCTAAAAAGATATGTTTTCAGCATAGTTAATGGCCTACAACAGCGTAGACTAAGTAATTGACAAAGACAGTTCCATTGAGCCCATTCTTCATAACATAAACCTGTAAGAGGAAGGACAAAGCGTGTATGTAACTGATACTTTACTCTTTGGGAAGGATGACTTGTACATGTGGGGTTCCGTTTTAGGCCCTACGCTTTTTGTAGCGTGGGTCTCAATTAGTTTCCACTTTGCTTAAATATGCACTGATCCTGTTACTGTACGTATAGTGGGACAAAACAGTATTTAGTCAGCCACCAATTGTGCAAGTTCTCCCACTTAAAAAAAATGAGGGAGGCTTGTAATCGTCATCATGGGTAAACCTCAGCTACGAGAGACAGAATGAGAAAAGTCCGTGTTTCCCAGCGACAGCCCGAAAACATCACTGCTCTAGAGGAGATCTGCATGGAGGAATGGGCCAAAATACAAGCAACAGTGTGTGAAAACCTTATGAGGACTTACAGAAAACGTCATTGCCAACGAAGGGTATACAACAATGTATTGATGAACTTTTGTTATTGACCAAATACTTATTTTCCACCATGATTTGCAAATACATTCTTTACATATCAGACATGTGGTTTTCTGGACTTTTGTTTCTCATTCTGTCTCTCATATTTGAGGCGTATACTTATGATGAAAATTGCAGGCCCCCTTCATATTTTTAAGTGGGAAAACTTGCACAATTGTTGGCTGACTAAATACTTTTTTGCCACTTCATTTCTGTATTCAAAAATTGAGATTTAAACAAAGCTTGTTTGTGTACTTATTCTCTGTCGTGTTAGAAGGATTGAGTGAGAAATATTTTTACAATTTGGGGGAAAGAGAGTGATGTTTTGTTTTTTGTGTGTGTTGTGTTAACCGGCCTTAATGCTTTGTGTTGCAGGTGGAGCAGACGAGCCGCCCGGACCTGGCCCTGTTCCTCATTAAATACTTGATGATGTTGATCGTGGGAATCCCCTCAGTGTTCTGGGTCGGCAGCAAAAAGACCTGCTTCGAGTGGGCCAGCTTCTTCCACGGCAAGAGACGGAAAGAGTGAGTATCAGAGAGACCGCTCCAGACACGCTTCACGCGATCACAGCTTCAGTACGCTCTCTCTCGAAGAAAAAAGAATAGGAACTGGACTAGGGCCAAAAGAATAGAAGAGATTTCCTTTTCTTATTTGTGTTTTTTACATTATGAAGGTATTTTGACATGACTTTTATGCAACACAAGTTTCACAATTATCTTCTGGTTGATTTTTCTGAAAACAAAATGTGTTGGTTTAGATTTAACCGAAACTGGACCAAATATAACATTTGTTCATTAGTTTATACTTACCGTAACTATTGATGTGTTGGGTTCAAACTTTAGAATACATTTCATTTTGTTGGTTTTCCTGAGAAACTAGATGATTTATAACACGACTTGGCAGCCCATCACCATCAATGCTGCAAGTTATTAGTAATAATTGAACATCATTTTAGGGGCCACTAAAAAAGGTCTTGCTGGATGGATCTGGCCCACGAGCCTGAGTTTATATACAGTAGATTTCTGGCTATAGATGGATACAAGTGTTTTAAAAAGGTAAACATTACTTTCTGTTGCTCCTTTTACTCTGAGTATTTGCACTAACAGTATTTTTTCTCGTACACACAGTCAAACAGGAAGTAACAGATGCAAATGCAGCAAAATCACATGATCCTCATCCATGTACTTTATTACCCCTTTTTTTCACATTTTGAAACTGCCGAGCTCTATGTAGGACCTACTATAGGCCTGATTTAGACACAAAAGTCCTGTTTTAGACATGGCTCAAATAGGATTGGGCTTGAGGTTCCATGTATTTTTGATGCTACATGTAAAAATATCTGTGCAACTAATATCAGAACCACTAGTTTTCAACATGCATATTATTTTGTGCATCGTTCTCAGCCCAAAGGGTCCAATAGTGACTCATCGTATGCCAAAAATAACATGTTTTCTAAGCGTATTTAAAGTCTCTTCGAGGTTAAAGCCAGGGTACTTGACTTTATCCACATCTTCATTACTATTACTGAGAAATCCGTTGTCGAGAAAAGAAATGAAGCAAAGACATTGAACACAGTCTGTAATCTGCGCTCCTCCTTCTCCCGGAATGCAATCTCAGATCATTAACCCAGTGTGCCCCCGCGGCCTCCCCCCCGTCCTCCCTCGTGTGCCCCTCTCCCCCGCACACCTCCGCCTTCCCCCTGTCTGTGCCCACCTCCCTGCACCTGTCCCTGCCCACCCTGCCCCTGCCTCCCTCCCCCTCCCCCGCAGTGCCATGGTGAACGAGAGCCGGCAGGTGCTGCAGGAGCCCGACTTCACGGCCCTGCTGCTCCGGGACCCCAACACCCCCATCGTGCGCAAGTCCAGAGGCACCTCCACCCAGGTACGCACAGGTTTCACCCCAATCATCTGTGACATGATACTGTTGGTGCGAGATGTGTTTGCATGGAAACAAAATTGTAGTTGGATTGTCGCGATGTTGGTCTGAAATATTCTATCCTCCATGAAGATGTTATTGTTTTGTCAAAATGGCCCAAAACTCGCCAGGATATAAAAACACAATACTAAAGTAAATTCAGCATTACCGTTTGTGGTTAGGTGTCCGTCTCCCGTAACCTCCCAAATCAATTACTACTCCACGTCAGAGTTTTTTGGTCTATGTGTGTGTGTGAGTGGGTTGGAGCCAAATAAGCCTCTCCTTCGTCCAAGCCCTTTTTAAACTGTGCATTTCTGTTTATTTTATCATTGACTGTATGTGCACACGCTTCAAATGAATAACAACAAAAATACATAGTGTGTTTTTGACCAGCAGATGCATTTAAGAGTGCAGGATCAGAAAGAGCCAAGCTAAAGTTAGACATACATGAACACATACCAGCTTGTTTGAGATCTGCTCCACTGATAAACACGTTCCCTCCACATCTGTCTCATTAGTTTTATTGTTAATATTAATAAGAACTTCTCCGGGGAATCGTAGAAATTGCTAATCATTTGCAACCGACACAGTTCCAACATGTCTGAGATTTTAAAAAGCTCAACGTCAACAAGGTCTAACTTGGGTTTAGTTATAAGTAGTTCAGTGCTAATGGAAACATCTTGAGTGAAACTGTTTTTAAATGTGCTTTACAAATAAATATTGCTTGATTTTGGATGATGCGATTTAGACTTGTGGAAGTTTTTTCAGTGTAGCGTAGTTCTTTTTCCCTATTGATGATAAATGACAATCACCTTTGCTCTCAGGGAACCTCCACACACGCCTCCTCCACTCACCTGGCCATGGACGATCCCCATAGCAACAGCACGAGCCACGCTGGGTCCGTGCGCAGCGGCCGCTCCAAACTCAGCAGTTACCATGGCAGCCTGCACCGCTCCCGGGACGGCAGGTACGCCCTCAGCCATCATCAGGATTCTAGTATAAAACTATAAATTCACATGAACAAGACACAAACAATTACATTCTATTATTACCTAGAATACGTTTACAAATGTTATTAGTATTGTGACATTTTAGAGCTTTTAGTGTTTAATGTTGCGGTTTATATTCTTATTTAGACCCGTTTAGTTTGCGGTGTGAGGATTTGATCAGATGGTAAAGACACAGCACACTGCCCTCTTGTGGTCTTTAAGCGAAAACTACATTTGTGTTTCCTTGAAGAAACACCAGCTGTTCTTTGAGCAGTGTTTCAGAACTAGTGCAGGCAACCTCCAGCAGGAAGCACATTTTGAAATAGTTTTATTTTGGGAGAAAATATGTTTGAGTAGCTGATGTTATAGCCTACGGATATATCTGAACAAACCAGGATCATACACATTACATTTATTGATGAAGGAGAAGTTTACTTTTCAATGTAAGTAAGCGCATATCTGTCAGTGTGCCCCAGGGCAGCTGTGGCTACAGTAGTAGTTTATCACCACCGTGTTTGGAGTGAATGAATAATGACACATGTGAAGCGTCTTTGAGTGTCCAGAAAAGCGCTATATAAAACCGATGCATTATTATTATTATTATTATATCTCTGACCATGAGTATTTCCTTTTTAGGGTATATTGAGGTAAACTTTGTCCGTCTGTACAGTCTACAGTTACATCTCCTCCTCCTCGTCTGCTGCAGGTACACCGCCAGCAGTTTCCGGGCGGCGGAGGAGCGGCAGCCGTACGGGAGTCTGCCGCGGCTCCACTGCAGCTCGCAGCGACTGGACGACCAGACGCGGCTCGGCTCCACCCTCAGACTGGAGAGCCAATCCCGGCACAGCAGCGTGCGGGACCTGGCCAATCACACGCAGGTGCTAAGCGTCCCAGGAAACGGAATCCACAGGGTCATGGAGGAGGACGGGACCACAGCTTGAGACGCTCACACAGACAAAGTGGGGTGCTCTGAGGGCACACGATTCTGTCATAAAAGGCTCCAATATGTAGGAAGTGCGGACTCGGGCGCTATGGGACTGGACTCTTTTTGGATTCTTGCGCTCTACAGCCGTCGTGCACTGGGCAGAAATACACCGACTTTGAACCGTATCTGACCGTGGAGGACGCAGCAGTGGGTTTACCCGAACGACTCTGGGTTGAAACAATGTATCTGCTCTTGTTAAAATACAGTTAATTGCATTCAGAATATGGAACTCATCTCAGAAGTGTTAGCTACAGTAGTTAAAGCTGCACTAACTGACTTTATTTTTGTATTAATTACGAAAATGCTATCCATGTCCATGTAGTGCATTGGGATATACGTCCTTTTGAAGAAAAAGTAGCGCAGATTTGTGCTGGCCTGACATTATATTTTCGATCGAGTTTTGATGAAACAAGGAAGAGAATGTGTTTCGGGTCGCAGATTGTGACCAATCACAGCGCACCACTAGCCCCCACTTTCGTGAGAAATCTACAGGTCCGTTAGCATAGACGGCTGAGTTAGCACAACAAGTGGCGGAGCTAACCTGAAACTTTCTCGTCTTCGTCACCGGGTACTGCTTACACAGCGAAACAGCCATCCAAAAGAAAGTCTCGTTCCTCCGCGCGTCCCGGTTCTATCGTTCTATGGTCACGCCATCCACGTGAAAATCCATATCCATGTATTATCCATATTGGGAGACGCTAGCTCCGTCCCAACAGTGGGTGTGTGTGGGGGGCGATAGCTTCGTGGGTGCGGGGAGGGGAGCAGAAAGAGCGAGGCCAGCGAGTCCGCGGCTTCAAAATCCCAAAGTCAGTTAGTGCAGCTTTAAGGTCTAATTACATATTCATTTCTGGATTTTCATATTTCTGACTTTTGATCACTTTTTTTTTTTTTTTTTTTTTACATCAAGCCGACTCAACTGATTGAATTGGAAATCTCACTTATACATTATTGTAATACAGTATAAACAAGTAGTTTCTTGAGTCTTGGAAAATATTTCTTTCAAACAGCTGCTTCCATAATATTAATATGAACCTGTGGCGACATTACAAACATGTGTTATGGTCCGGGTTTTGCAGGAAAACATGAGCAGAAGTTTGTATGTTTTGTATTAGACAAGAATTTGTTAATAAGAACTACTTTATTTTGAGAAATGTCTTAAACAGTGTGATGTTCAAATTGTCAAATGTTAGTCAAAACTACAATTCTGAATTCAAGTGATTGTATGAGAGCAGATATTGTTGCCCTGGTAACAGCTAAAGTACATTTGGCAGATTCCACTGCAGAGTTCTGAACTCCAGCACTGTGCTCTTTGGGTTTGTTGGGACCATTGTCGAGGACCACCTCCTTTTATATGAAGGTCTAAAACAGGCCAAAGACTATTTAATATTATTGACTGTAATTACTACTGATGCCTCGATATTCCGACGCATGAAGAAAAACCTTTGCCTTGGACTGGAAATCTTTTTTATAAATCCTCATGAGTTTATGAAATTTTAAAAAGGGATTGAATAGTTTTAAAGATTTGAAGCCATTGTTCGGGCTGCTACAGGGAAAAGCTACGTCCAAACGCCTGCCTTACACTTGGAAAACGCTGTAGTTTAGACACGGATAGTCCGTAGCTAGTCCTGTTTGAAATGTGACCACGTAAAGCTACTGTACATGATAGATGACCTTGTTCATAGATGTAAAAACAATGAATTTTTCTAATTAAATGTTTTAAAATGAATTCCAAGATGTGTTATTCATTTCTGTCACATATTTGCATCAGTGAGTCAAGTCTATAAAATGATATAGTGGGTTGATTAATTAGTAAATTGTTCTTTGGTCCTCCCGCACCAGACGTAAACATAAGGTCGGATTGACTGCCCTGCAGGTCGACAGGTGTGAAATTACGGGTGAGTGGTTCCTTGATGGGAAGCACTTAAAGCACCAGTGGAAGTAGACAATCCAGTCTTTCAGAATCTGGTTTCATATTTCACATAGTCTTAGCACACAATATTCTGTGGATCTTGAAAATCATTGAAATCACCAAAACAGCTTGCAGTCCATGAGTTAATTTACCATGAAATGTTCTATAAATAAAGGTTTAAATATTGTTCAGCCTTGGCACTCCACAAAAGGATTCTGAAAAAGCAGTAAACAGCAAAAAAATTCAACTTATTTTTACCTAACAACCCAAATAAGAGTGATTGGATAATCTGCTTGAAAATTCTGAACATAAATGTTTTGTTTTCTCACGTTTTAATTTTATTGTGTTACTATTGTCTCAGTGCAGTGGAAACTAAGGTAAGCTGATTGGATAATTAAACACTGTGCAGATAGTATTTTTCATTTAGAATAACTCTGCTATAAACTTCTGTTCAGAAAGGGTCCAATATGATTTGTTAATCTTGAACCATAACCTAAATGTACACTTAATTTATCCGCACAGGAAACTGTCATGTTTGTAGTGAAACCAGAGAACCCAGAAGAAACCGGAGCACCAGGAGGAAACCTGCGCAGACATGGGGAGAGCATGCATACTTCACTCAGAGACCCTGTTCCGACTGGGATACAAACCCAGGAGCTTCTTGCTGTGAAGTGAGAGTGCACATGGGTATGGGGATGTAATTTAAAGAGCGACTAAACACCTGTGCCCAGCCTTACTCCGCCCACATGAAGATTTGAAAATGTTCTCTAAAAAGGGCGTTGCCTGGGGGACCAAGGGACAAGAAGGGGGGCTTAGAGTTGGGCGTGGTCTGGGCTGTGATTGACAGCTCACTTGTCACACAAAAAAAAGACAGTTGTCATTGCTGCTTAAAGCAATAATTTACAGACCAGAAAGTCTCATTCCAATAATGAGATAATTGTAAAGCTACACACCTGAACCTAATCACACTCAATAATCTCAGAATGACTCATGTAATTTAATTTTAATCCACTAGATGGCGCCAGAATACTCCAAACTGCAGCTGGGGCGTGTGTGAGTTGAATGGGTTCACATCACTGGCTCTGACAGACTGACGTCACACAAAACAACTGATGTCATAGAGGACTTAAGAGTCAATGGAGAGGCCAGAACCAAATTCAAATGTAGTACCACCAAAAAGGTTGAGAGGGCACCACAGCGTTTTTTGGCCCAAAAGTGATATTTTATCTAATTTGAACTAAAATGTCAAAAAAATGACCAGGATATGTAGACAGCACTACAATAAACATACTTATGCAGTTTATGAGTTAAAAAAAGTTGATTTAGTGTTTAGTCGCTCTTTAAAATGAGGACCCAAAATGTGTCCAAAGTCAAAGCTGTTGGAAATGACGACTCGTGACACACAACGTTTGTAACAGCCCTCCGCTTTATTGAAATACATCGGAGTGGGGTTAATATAATGAGTCTTCCACGCGAGAGTGGCAGCCAGTTCATCATCATCATCATCATCATACATCATTTGCCTTTGACCTTACACCTTAAATATCTTTGTGCAAAAAGAGAATCTACATCACCTGTAGTGGGTTATCCTCAGTACAAGCGCCCAAACCGCTTCAAAAGTAAAACAACAAACCAAAAAATGATTACATCTATAACATGCAAAACTGTACAAATTATTACAAAGCAAATCCTAGAAAACAATGTGTTATGATATGAAAGGGCAAACGGAATATCGGGATAAGACCTCATGAAATGCAAAAGGCGATTTTTTGAATTTTTTTAAACAATTTTCTTCTGACTGTGGCACCTTCACCGCTTCTAACTCTACACCCGTTCTGACTCCTCCTCTTAGTCCACACATTCGCCTTAAAAATCATTGGTTCGCGACGGTTCCTGAGTTTTGCTTTCTCTCTTTCTCTCACACAGGGATAAGCTGGCATCACTTTTTACTGTACAAACATTAATTAAGAATCTGACCTTTTTTTTCTTAATAAAACGCCCCGCTGACATTATCTGCTAATACATTCTACATCTCTGGACTGGATACTTTACAGGTCTTGGAAAGTTTTGCACCTATGGAGCTGGAAAATAAAAAAAACAAGAAACTTGGAATGAGTTGGCTTTGGAAAACTGTAGGAATGACCAGGATCAAATTGTAAAAAGTAAGCGAATGTAAAACGACCATCTCAGCAGCTCAAATAAACAGGAAAAAGCTTAAGAAATTATGAACAGAGGTTTGGTGGCCCTGAAGAGACAAGAGGAAAAAAATACAGAATGCAAATGCGACGACTGAGAGATGGTGCAAAAAATATTGGTGGACAAAAGCAAAAACTCAGCAACAATATCAAATCAAATTAAAAGCTGAACAGAAATGGCCAGAGATACATAAAAGCATAATAAAAGCAATATTTCATTATATAATTCAACATAAAATTATAACCATTTTTTTTTCATTTTGTTTCATCCCCAGATGTTTAAAAAAAAATAATGCGGGTAATTCTGGTCATTGCAGTTTTTATGTTTATAATTTGCTTTTGTCCATCCACCGAGTTTGACTTCTGGCCGTTTTTTTCAGACACATTTTGTAGAGTAGTGATATGAGCCTCCAGAGCCACCGTAGATAGAATATTTAGACCCAACTCTTTTTATACACGTCGATTAGAACCTTTTTTTAGTGTTGACATTCTTTTAAATCACAGGAAGCTTCTGTTTTGACACAATATCTCGACGTAAAAGTCCATAAAGCAAAGGCTAAACTGTAGAAAGACGTGAGCGTAGTTCTCGTAGCAGTGGTACCACACAGCGACGTCTGATTGGTTGACTGGCCTCCAGCCGGAACAAGGCATCCGATGCAAAACGCTGCCACCTAGAGTCAGTTTGTGGGAGCGGCGGCTTTAGTGTCACGCTACGCTGTAGTGTGGGGTCGCAAAAGACACGCAAAATCAAATCGATGTGGGGGAATAAAAGAAAACGCACTCAACACGTGTCGTACATATGATAAAAAAAATTAACAAATCTAAAAATCAACCGTTCAAAATAAAAGAAAAAGTGGTTTTAAAAATGGCTTTGTGTGAAAACCCCACGTCACTCGAAAGAAAAAAAAGCCAAAGAAGAAAGGGTTTGTCTTCCCCTTGTGTCTATAGTTCCTTATCATATATTACTCTACTCTATGTACATTAGTGACTGTCAGTTTGGTTGAACAGCAACACGGAGCATCGATTCTGGACCAATCAGGAGACGGCGATACTATATACTATACTATACAGTCACTCCGCAAATCAAAAGTCGAATGGTGAAAGCGCGTGAAGGACAGAGGAGCGTGAGCAGAGACTTAGGGCCCGCCTTTCCTCGCGTAAGATTGATAAATAAATTAAAATATCATCCCCCATGAACCCATGGGTCCTATGTACAAGTACAAATATTTGTTTATTTTCTTTTTTTAAAATTTTTTTTTTTTAGAATAATCCTCTTTTGTGGAGCCAAAAATGGGACGCGAGTGATTCCTATTGGGATGGCCCTTAGTGAAGAACTCATGCGCGCGCGCACACACACACACGCGCACCTAGCATACGCCGTTAGCACTTACATACGCCTTAGTGTTAGCATCGTTGGGAGCGCTAGCACACGCTCCATTTAGGACAGTGTTCTGAGAGGGGCTGCAGTTCTCAAGGCAGTGAGGCGGGAGGGGGCGTGTCCTGCGTGGAGAGGGGCGGAGTCCTGTGCTGTTGATTGGTCAGTTTGTATTGTACTGTATGGGGAAAGGGGGCAGGATTTAGTGGTCCTGAAGGGCTCATGTGTCCCAGCCCATACGGTCCGTGCTCTCCAGCGACAGGGACTTGGTCTTGTGGGGGGAGGCCGGGCTCGGGGGGCTGCTGAACGTGGAGCTGTTGGACGCCGTGGAGTGCCGCGGGGAGTCCGAGTCCTGGGCACAGAACAAGAACGAGTCAGTGCAGGAAAAGTGTAGCGTTGTTCGTCCGCATGCGTGTGCTCAGAGGAGCTGCGGAGGTGGACAATGAGGCGGCCATGAAATGGCTGTTTGTTAAAGCTGAGGTACCTAACTTTGTATGTAATAAGTATTTTTGTCTTCTGTCACAACCTTTGATCAGTTTTTTTCCAGACAGAAAAGTGGAAAAAGGCTCAAAGAGTATGGTACCTCAGCTTTAAGGCCAAAACTATTCAGTTAAATAAAAATACACGATTATACCGAACGCAGTGGAACAGAATTAAAACCACGTCAGAACTCTAAATAAACCATCACAGGACAATGAACATCAGCGATTCCCGAAGAAATGAAACAGCGCTGTCACAAAACAACACAATATGCAAAGTGGCCAATCGACAGACTAAAATTAAACTAATGCAAAATAAAGAGATGGTAAATAAAACATGACGTATGTTCATGATCACACGTCTTCAACACAAAACCTCTGATGATCACGACTGTTGCCGTCTTTACTTGTTGAATATCACACGTTGAATTGGAATCCCTCTTTGACACAAGCGCTCATCTGTCCTTCCTAAAAACCACGTGTTTTCTCAGTTACACTCAGATAATGTTCTGACATTATCCTGGAGCACACAAACCATGCAGCCGCCTGTGATTGGTTAAAGCAGTTTGGGCGATGAAGCACCGTGCGCGGTGATTGGCTGATGAGCAACAAAGCAAAACATGAGGAGTTATTCACTGAGCTGAGCACAACCAAAGAGGGTGGGGCCAGTGGTCATGTGACGTCATGGGAAGGGGGTTGGCGTCCTGAACCAAGGCGAGTGTCTTTACCTTCATCTTACTAAGAAGTGTCCGCAAAGCCCTTTTCAGATCAGGGGTCTTCTCCGACGGCGAAACGGCGTGCCACTGCAGAGGAGAGCACACTGAGCACTGCCGCACACGCATGCAGGCGGAGGGACGGGGGACGGGGGACACGGGGGGACACAGGGGAACGGAAGGGAGAGGGGGACACGGGTCAACTGGCTGATGGACACGTCATGACGGCGGTCAGCGGGATGGAGGTGGAGCCTTGGGGAGAGATGCTCTAGCTCTGACACGGCCTGGAACACTAACACGTCACTCTCTACACCAAACACCACGACCCAGCGACTACAGCACAGGAGCCCACGAGCGGCGAAGGTTGTTCCTTTGTTCAAACTACGACAGAAGCCACAGCGGGAGCCACACCACACTGAGCTCAACACTACAGGTCAGAGATGAAGCCACATGCTCTCACTGCTGTGTCCCATCAACACTACTGGGGTCTATGGTCATTATGTGACACAGATGGGGACGGGAGACACACCTCAGAACATGTTTATTTCATGCATAGATGGTTCTAATGAGGTTTTCCTTTGTGTTTCCCGTGTCGTCCATCTGAGGTCACATAAGAGTGAGTTTGAGAGCAGCCGGTCCACTCACCTCTCGATCGAACTGTGACAGCGGTGCGTCTCCACAGTCCATTCCTCCGCCTGACGACAGAGAGCTCTCCGACGGCGACGTCATGGCCTGACGCTTGGAGCTGTAGCTGCCTCCAGACAGCTCCCTCCGCAGAGCGCTGCCGTTCTGAGAGGAAGAGCCTGGACACAACAGCAGGAATTCAAAGGGAATACAATGTACACGACCTCATGATGATTCCATCCATCCATTTTCTTCCCTTTAATCCATTTCTGGGTCAGGGGGGTGGCAGTCAGAGATGCCACCCAAGTCTCATAGCACCAGCCCCTCACTGACCCTCTGCAGGTGGTGAGTCCACAGGAGGACGGCTGCTCTGAGTGTGAGCATAGCCTTGATCTTTCAGTGGGGGCTTTGGGCAAAGTGGGGTTAAGTGTCTTGCCCAAGGACACAACGACAGCAGTCATCAGTGGGAGTCGGTGGAGAAGGTGCAGAGGTGGGAACCCACGACCTTCTGGCCTTGGTAGGCCAATGCTCTACCAACTGAGCTACTGTCTCATGATGATTATTATTCACAAATGCAAAGAATATTGACAAAACAAAAAAGACTTTAAAAAGAGTTAAATGCCCTATGCACTGACCAGGGGGACCTACATTCAACATATTGTCTTTGTGCGTCTATAACTGGGGACGCAATGTTTTTGCCATCTGCCATGGTGTAACACAAACAGTCACTGAACAAGAGAAGTTTACTTTAAAATGTCAATATGAGCCAGAGCGAGTAAGAGCCAAACTTCACTGAGTTAGGAATTAGCATTAGATGGAATTACCATCTTTTATACAGTCTATGATCTGAGACTAAAAACCAAAAATAGTTAGCCACATTACCATTATACTTTCAGTTTCTCAGATCAGTCTGTGAGTGGAGTATTGGAAGAGTGCACTCACGTATCCCCAGTCCACTGCTGGCGCTCATGGACCGCCCCGGCTCGCCTCGGTTCTTGGTGATGGAGGGAATACTGACCGAACCACTGAAGCCAGCGTGGTTCTCCTGGAGACGCACATTCTGCTTTAAAACACACGCACAAACGCGCACACACACACACACACACACACACACACACAGGAGAGGAGAGTGCAGGTGTGAGGGCGGTGCATCCAAATCTGAACTCTACAGTGAGAGGTGAGACTTTCATGCTACTTTAACAAGGTGAAGAATGTTGATGACAACTGTCTGAAAAGAATGAAGACATTTTCCAAAGTTGCGTTTTATTCCTTTTGATATAGAGCACATTAGTATTCTGAAATTCCGATGAATTAAGGGCCACACATTTTAAGACACTGTAGCAGTCTGAAAAGTGGAAGATTTAGTTTGGCTTGATTTAGTCTGAGGGGTGAGTTTGAAGAGGATGAAAATAACCACATGATGATGAGTTGAGGGAAACAGAACCATTGTCTTTCATTCAATATGAGATTGAACTTTAAATGCTCTCAGGAGTGTATGAATATGGACATTTAGTGAGTTGTGTGTCATAAATGAGTGAATCCGCACCATGGGCAGGTCTTTGAGGATCTGAATCCCGTCTCCTGGTCCCATATGAGCCACATGGTTGAAGTTTGTGGGGTTTGAGATCAGCTTGTTCCTCATCTCTGGATCTCGCAGCATCACTCTGTAAACAAGTGTGTGAGTGATAACATCTTTAATGTGACTGTTACGGGTTCAGACTAATCAAAATCCATAAAAACACAACTCATGAAGCTGAACACAATCTAGGTCATTCCTCTTAAAAAAGTTTGGTTCTATCATTAGTTTTTAATTTATTTTATGCCATCTTGTCTTTCCCTTTAGCTCCAAAATGGCTTGCAAAATATTTCTAGTATTGCACATTATATGTTTAGTAGATGAGCTAAATCTATCTTAAGGATTTCTTTATGTGCAATGCAAACAAATAATGGCAGGCAACTAACAGCAATTCAAACATGCAATACACATGTAAAGATGGCGCCGTGGCAAGAGCTCTGGTGTGTGTCGTCTTCTCTGTCTGGTGCACACCAGGGTAGTCTTGCACAGTTTTTCCTATGTGGTTTTACTGCAAATGGCAAATAAATGAATCTGAATCTGATCTGAAATGGTTGAAAAATAGGAAGTACGTTTTAACACAATCTAAGGCTAATTGTTACATAATTGTCTGAATAGTGAGTTTGTCAAATACGGCCCATTTCTATGTACAATAATGTTACTATTAAAACAAGATTGCTCTAAAGCCTGAGAGGTGTGTGCTGTGGCTCTGACCTCCTCTGCTGAAGCCGCTCCTCCTCTGGGACCCTGAAGGAGAAGCGCCTCTTGTTGTTCAGACTCCGCACCATCTGCTTCCTGCTGTTATCAGACGTGTCCGGCACCACCAGCTCGTCTCCCTCTGCACACGCACAAAAGCAAGAGTGGAGCTACGTGAAGATTTATCTACACGGAACAATGGCATCTTTGTAAAAGGCTGGAGCATTCATTAAACACATTTGGTTTGTGACCAAACAAGTGGTTTGGTGCAGAGTTTGGACTTTTTTATTATATAGCAATGAGGGCTTCTGTATCTTTTGATATTAAGATTCATTCACTTTTAGACCAAGTAATGTTCTAAATCTTCAAAATATTTTCAGGGCCGTAAAAAAAGGATTTACATTGTCCAAAAAGTTCTTCATCTCAATGGGACTTTCCAGGTTAAATTAAAAAAATTATAAAATGACTATTCCAGGTTGTCTATGACTGTGCAGACCTTTGACACAATCGCAATTTTATGTTGCTGCCCCAAAAAATTTTCAGGGGTCTGTGTTTTTCTGTGATTAAAAACACAAACAAGTTCAAAGACTTACCGGCCATCTTGTTTCTGAAGTAGATGAGGCGAACCGTTTCTAGTCCCAAAAGATTTAAAGAGCCGTCCACGTTCAGAGGTCGCACCTGGGAAAGAACAAAACTTGTGATTAAAACATAGATCTTGTTTGTTGTGGGCAGGGTTGAAATAAACTTTATATGGATCGGAAGAAAGATTTTGCCGTTTGCACAAATAATAATCTTTTCATTTCACCCTAAATTATTTTGAATGTATTTTCCTGTAGAAGCTTTTGTAGCGAGGTTCAAACCTTCTTCAGAGGAATGGTCTGGATCCACTCCATTGTGTTGACGTCAAACACATCGACCGCGTTCTCGCTGTAAACCGACAGGTAGGGGGCGTTGTAACCTGGAGATAAATCAGGGAAATATTTAGAGATGGCCACCAAACCTTATATGTAATCATTCATCGAGGAGTGGTCTGCAAACGGTTTCAAATCATAACCAAAAAAAACAAATACAACTTTTTGTGTTCTGCTCAAAGGCTCCAAAAAGACCTCCCTCAAATAAAACTACATGTAAAGAAATTTTAACGCAAAAGCAGCATAACTATACACATGGTCAAATGTTTAAAAATACTAAAAGAGTATATCTTTCTTTACATTTGAACTTATATCTATTATTTAAGCTATACAAAATATACAGCATCAATGAATAAAGTATAACCATAATTTAAGATGCCCACAAGTAGTATTATTTATATTACCTATATATTACTTAATACCACAAGTAGTAATAAATAAACACCTTTAAACTGCTGACCGACCAGCGCTTTGTAGTATTGCATTATTTAAACTGTTCCAGACTTTGTGGTGAAACTCGAAATGTCCTTTTAAAATGGTGCCATGTAAATAAAGTGAATCCAGACTCACAGGCCGCGTTGGGCAGGGCAGGCCACATGAGCTCCTGCTGCCGTGAGCGCCGGCCCTGAGAGTCCACGTATACCCCGATGGCGCTGAAGCAGAGGAGCAGCTCTTTGCTGGAGATCTCCACCGCACATAGGGCTTCCAGGCTCTGCTGCGGGATGAAGGCCAGCGTGTGGTCCTCCGGGTGCAGCAGGCTCACTGGGGACACGTCGCCATGGACACTGCGGAGCAACAAGTGCGACCGCGTGGTTAAAGTTACAGGAACGCACCAGTGCACATTTAAGACTCTTTTTAAAAATACTTTTGTAATGCTGTTTGAGGAATCATAATTCACCATTATCTTCTGTATGTTTTAATATTAACGATCAGTCACTTTTAGACCAAGTAATGTTCTACACTTTCCAAATCTTTTCACGGCCAGCGTCTGTTTGTTTACAATCTGTTTTACAGCAAAAATACAAAGCATTAATTCTACTTCTATCATATCATGCATCTCAACGTGTCAAAATGTCTTACATTATTTCTCATGTAGATGAAAATGGAACCCTTTAGTCACCATGATCTGTAAAATGCGTTTAACCGTTTGTACGGGGAAATATAAACACATATTTTGGTATTGCTAGATTATAATTGACCAATAATGGACTAATAACAACAACTTTTGCAGGTTGTGTAACAAAACAAATACCAACTATTACCAATAGCAACACCATCCAGTGTGAGTTTTGGGCAGTCACCTGTATCTGGTGAAGCCGGACTGGTACCCCACATAGAGTCTCTCGTTGAGTAGCCCCATCCACAGCACTTGCCCCGGCGCCTGCAGCTCCCGCAGCCGTCGGTGACGCATTTTACTCTTGTTCACCTGAAACACACACATATTACATTATATTTAAGGCTGATATGTTATACAGCCCGAGTCCTGGATCAACAGCCCTTCAAAGTTTCTAATTTTTTCCCATTGGGTTATTGGAGATTTTCCTTTCCAATGAAGGAGGGTCTGAGGACAGTGGTGATGATCCAGGACACTCGACATTCAACAACATTCAAGTTTATTAACATTTATGGACATTGGTCATCTGTATACTTGTTGACATTTATGTTTTGAAATTATTGTATGAATAAGAACAACAAGACAAAGGAGTCCGCAGTACTTGCCTCGTAGCAGATGATCTGTCTCTTCATGGCCACGCACAGGCAGGTCAGGGACCCATTGCGCACCGGACCGGACACTATGCTCGTGCAGCCTTTGGTCTCGGCCAGTTTGAAGGAGTCGGTCTCGCGGCCGTCCAGAGCCTGCGTGGGGAAGAGGCGCACGTGGCGGTTCCTCCCCGAGATCACGGCCAGCAGCTGCTCCTGCGCGATCAGGTCGATGTGGTGCACCTTCTTATTGTCGCCCACGCGGATGATTTCTGTGGAGGTTAGTGCAGGGTCAAAGGGTGCCGTACGTTTCGGTTTCACAATCACAACATTGGGGTTATCCTCACAGAAAGAGCCTTTTAAAAGCATGTGATCTGTCTTCATCTTACAAAAAAAAAAGAATCTTAAAACCTTTTCTTCCAACTTCCCATTTGAGGCTTTGGGCCGAGAGCTGAGCAATGGTGACCATACTCCTTCACTTTTTTTATTTGCATATGAAAATAAATAGGGGGCGGGGCAAGAGCTGTTCAAATGTAGTGTATCCAAACTCTAATGTAAAGATACTTGAATGTCCCTGTAGGGGACCCTTTTTACCAAAGCCACTAGGGAAAACTAGAAACCTACAAAAGGACAGCAATTTATGCAGAAAAATACAATGGAACTATGTCTTATAATAAATCATAACTAGGTAAAGTCTCATAAGTAATAAAGTCAACAAAAACACTTTTCATTGAAAACCCTGGAGTCGATGTGAAGACTTACCATCTTTGGTGACATGTACAACAAAAAGTCCCTCCTCGTTTCCCAGAGCAACACGCTCGTGATCTGGAGACAATCAAAGAAAACATGTTAATCCCGGGACAGAAAGACATTTTAGGATTTGAGAACATTTCTTTTAGTCTATCAAAACTTGCATTAATGTTAATTTGTATTGAGCAACAACAGTAAAATACTATGATTTATATACTAAGCTGTAGATTCAAAAGCAGTGCTATACTCGGCCTCTCAAAACATCTAGATTATTATATAAAAGCGACTGAATGATTCATTTTTAAACACCTTCATACGTTTTGCATGTATATTAGTTCTAGTCTCTTTAGCTCAAGTATGAAAACTGTATGCAAAAAAAAACACAAACATTTTTGGTTTGTGCATGTGAATTAGTAATCAATAAAAGTTGAAATATTATTATTGTGACAGGCATACAAGAAAAACATATTGAATCAGATTCAGGCAGTTATAAATCATGTTGGCTCTTGTGGGCTTAATTTTGTGTGTTCTCTTGCGTCTCGTCCCAGCCTCAGGCACCAGCTTTTGTTTCATGTTGAAAGACCTTTTGCATAAACCCTGCTTCAACCTATTTGCTTGCCGCTGCATATCCTTAGACAAACAGGCCGAGGGTGCCCACCTATGATGGTCGCCGACTGGGTGGTCTTGATGAGGGGCAGGGTGCAGTCGTAGGCCTCTTTGGGCACGTACACGAAGCGCTCCTTCAGCTTGTTCTTCTTCAGGATGCGGTGCAGCTCGTTCAGAAGCCCCACCCACTTGTTCCTCTCCTGGTCGCTGTCGGCCAGGATCAGGGTGGACGTCTTATTGCTGGAGGGGGAGAGTTGCGAGGCTGTGACCTGAGGAAACGGCAACACACTTTTGTTTCACTGGACCTTAGTGCAAGTTACAAGGAACAGATAACAAAAACTGCTATGAAATAACAGTAAAGTTTATGTAACTTCAGCATGTAATAATTCAGCAATAATTTGGTAACAGGCAATGATGCAGTGATAATACATTATTACTTAGGTGATTTCTTGGTCATTCACTATTACTTTTAAACAATAATTACTTTTACAAAACTACGCAACATTTCTTTGTGCTTTGAGTAAAAAATATGTAATACAAAATACGTTTTGATGATGGCTTACTCTGAATATACAGGGGATGTCTTTGCGGCTGGCGTGGATGACGTCCGAGGCCAGGACTGAACTGACTGAAAACTCTTCATCCCTAAAAAACATGAACTTAAAATTACAATTTAATCATTTCACTACAAGACTCATGTTTTAATGTAAATCTTGAAAGTCGACCAACACAAAAGAGAAGTGTGTGTAATATTACCTCATGTCTATAACTTGGCTGACTATGACGCTGGGTAGTGTGGCCTTTCCCTCCCCGAGTTCGTACAAGAACAATTTGAAGTCACAGACGACTGCCATCGCTCTCTGCCACCCTTTCTTCACCCCCGTTGGCTTTGGAACCTGCAACACAAAGTACAATATAATAAACATTGATAATTAGGGGTGGGAACCTAAGGGTACCTCACGATACGATACGATACAAAGCTCACGATAACAATTTTATCACAATATGACGATTATCGATATATTGGTCAGAAATATACCAATATATGGCATAAATAAAAGAAAAATGTTAAGTGAAAAAAATACACTTCATTTCATGATAAATGGAATGGAGATTCGTAATGTAGCCATATATTAAGTAATGATACAAATGTTTTTTGTTTTTTTTTCAAAATCGATATCGATACTTGGCAAATGCATATCCATAATCGAATCGCGGGAGAAAGTATCGCGATATATCGTCACACCCCTATTGATCCCCTATTGATCGTCACACCCCTATTGATAATAATTTTCGGGACGGACAAAATCATAGAAAATGTAGACCGCAAAATGCTTGTATTTCTATGATTTGAATAGAATATGGTAAGTCATAACAGAAGAATGAAAACATATCCACTGACCCTGACTGTGCCCTCGTACGCCGTGCCGATGCCCCTCTGTGGGTCAATCCCCAGGGGGCCCTTGGTCTGGTCCTGTGGCACCGGACAAACTGCAGGAGCCTTGTCCGCACACGTCACATGACACGAGAAGTTACACACTGCAAAAAATACACACAATTAAGACTTATGCAGGCATTTAATACCTATGAAAATGTGAATGGCCATATATTGCGATAAATGATGTTACAATTAAAGTATAAAAAGATAATTCCAGTTAAATTAGTTTGAGCAGAAAAAAAACCACCCAATAAAAACAGAATGGCCTCAACTGTCTTTCATCTGTATAGAAGTAGAGATGCATATGCAGATGGCATAAAAAACTTTTAAAAATGTATATTACACCGAGTTGTACACTTCAAGTTGAGCGATAACATTTCTAAAAAAAAAAACAGCAAGTATCAATGAAAAGTTGCACAAAGCACCCAAGTAACAAGTCATAAAAGCGACTCCAAAAATAAAAGTGACTCTTTCTACTGACAGACAAGTAACAATCTTTTGAGTCATACAATAAATGTGCGTACAATAAATAAGCCAAAAAATATATTGTACAATATATCAACTATGGAACGAATGTGACAAGCTCTACATTATGAACAGATACTTCACACAATGGCTCAGTTACGTAAAAGCTAGACCTGAAATAGTGATAGCGGTGACAGATTTAAAACCTCATCAAAAACCTCCATTGGACATAACTACACATTTTAACAATAAGTGAAACAAAAATGACATTTGTCGCCAACCTTCACACGTGCAGCCTTGGCGTATGAGTCCCACCATGAGGGAGGTGCACTGGTTACACTTTGTGGGTGTGATGAACGACTTCACCACAAACTGATGAGCTTTGGGCTGAAGAAACACAAGACGAAGGGACATTATCTTCATGTAGAATCCTAAATGAACATGTGATGTGTGTTGTAATGTATTGAACCTTTGGAGAGGAGCGTCCGATGCTGCCGCAGCCTCCTGACCTCATGGTGGGGGTCTGGAATGGTCGGCCCGGGTGGTCTATCAACTGCAAAGACACATCACACAAAGTTACTGAATCAATGTTTTAAAGATTGATGAAGCAGTTAATTTAATGAACACTATGTCAAAGTGGTCAGTGTTTTTACAAAGGTGTGGTCCATGTGTGAGATGAGATTCCAAAAATTGGTGGAAAAATGATAATATGAAACCGAAGAATAACAATAGCCCTCTCCAATACGTGTGGGTATTGGCTCGGGCTGATAAATCTTAGGGTTAGACTTTCATATTACTACAGCAAATACATAAACATACAGTACCTCAATTGGCTCCATGTCACTGGCCATAGAGGGCGATCGTGAGCGGTCTTTGAGCAGAGACTTGGGATGGTCTTCTCTCGAGGGAGTGTTGGAGGGGGTGAAGTTTTCAATGGAGTCCACCTGAAGAAAAGAGAAACACAAATGTAACAAACATCCTCGCATCACACAGCAGGAAAAGAGGAAATCAGAGGAGATTGATATTGACAGTTCATGCCAAGTATTTTACAGCCTACAGTATTTTACAATAGATTTATTTACTTCAAACACCACTTAAGACTTTCACAATGCAAAAAACAGACAAGTGGGAAAAACACAAACAACAGTCAAATGTGATTCCATGTAAAAAATAAATTAATTTGCAAATTTTGAATCTGAAACTTGATCCAAAGTTGATGATTGGTGTCTAACTTCAATTTAGCCTGATTTCAGGAATAAACTACAGTATCACATTTTTTTTAAAGTTTAAATTATGTTTATGAGTTAAATATAATTTGTAGCTTCAAAGAAAAATTATGACGAGTTTATAATGGAATGGAATATAGTGAGATTAACATGCATTTACCCCATAACCATATTACAAGAAACTGTGTCGAGACAAAGCACACACGCACACGCGCACACATACACACAAAACAACAACCCAAGCGTTTGAAAGAGTGGAGCAGTGGTGATGCTTACACGTCTGCCTTTAGCCGGGCCAACGGAGGGCGAACGCTTCAGTAGAGAGACAGAGGCAGAGAATGGCAGAGACACAGATTTAAGTGAACAGCAGCAGAGGATTAGGCGGCAAGGAAACTATTAAGGACCAGGCAAACGTTCGGACACATTGGGTTTGGTCTTTGATGAAGCTGAAATGGCCTCTAGCAGTCTCTAGATGCCATTTTGGGCCCATTTGTGGTGCGGAACATTTACTCCAACACTGATCAGATATATGGTAGAAATGCTTCAATCAAGAAGAGTTTTTGACTTTTGTCTTTTGATTTTTGTCTCTTAAAGAAAATACAATACCATCATTTTGACTTCTTTTTCTTCAGTGTTTACAGTGTCGGAACTCTTATTCAGAAGTGTTTGAGGCTGATTATGATGTTGTGGAAGCTGTGTGAGGTCAAACATACACCATGCGAAACTATTGTTCTTATGTATCTTTGTTTGTGAATCGACCATTGGCAGTTATCATGAAACTTGATTGAACTATACTTGACAGTTTGAACATAATTTTTTTTTTTTTTACAGAAGACACAAACTGGAGTGAAACTGCCATAACAATTTTTATTAGAGATGTATTTAGTGCAGTTTAGCCATAGTTAAGATATTCCGTTAAGTCCTGGTTAAACTCTAGTTTGGTATTGGTCCAGTTTGAGTGTTAAAGATGAAGACTTGGATTTAATGGTCTAGATAAGGACTCAGTGTGCTTAATTATCCAATGCACCAGTCGTTATAATTGCTCGGTTTCGTGATCTGTTTTGAATGAAGTGAAATTACAGCTTTTAATTACTATTATGATAGCTTCTCAGCAAACAATCACATTTAGCCCAAAATTCACCATTGTCACAAGAAATATTAAGAATGAGTTTCATTAAGTGTGTCCAAACATTTGACAGATTCTGTTGAAATTGAGAAGAATAAACTGTGGAACCAGGAGGAGAAAAATAAACTGTAGACTGGAGAAAGAAGGAGCAGGTGGGGATAAAACAGGTTACAACTGTACTGGACAAAGAGTGGAAAAAAACTAAAAAAGTATCACATTTATATGACTAAAATATGAAATACATAAACAAATTAGCTTAAAATTAACTAATGAGTATACATTTCACAGACAGTGAATGTGTATTGAGTGCAAGTCTGGAATTACTGTGTGTATATTCATCTTTCATAGTGAACAGTCTGGTGTGAAAGATTAAATAGAATTTAGACGGACATTGGACTTTCTCCAATAAATCAAACTAAAGTGAAGATATAGCTAACTTCTATTACTACTGAAGCTAGAAACCAACTTACGTCTTCCCAAAACTCTACTAAAGAAGAGGAAGATGAAGAGTAAGAGTCCTGATGGTGCAGAAAATGAAGCAAAGGGAGGAACAAAAATAACGAAATTAAAGTTGAAAAGAAAACATAAAAGCAATGAATAAACAAAGATACGAACAGACTGGAATGGACCCCAATTATTAATCTTGCATATTAAACAACTGACTAATTACATCTAATACTTACGTCAAACTGATCCAGGGCCGAGGTGGGTGCGTTGAGGAAAGCCAGGAAGGAATTCTGGGAATCTTGGTGTTTTACACCTTAAAAAAAAAAGAGAAAACAGAGATGTAAGCGCAGAATAATGTAACATCAAATAGACTTGCATTAAAATAAGTCACAGGACGGCCTCATAATATGACACATTTTAGGATGCACTGATCTAAACTGCACTTGCTTCTATTCATAACCTCTGAACTAAACAACCCAGAAAACTCCTGTATTGTAAATAACTTTATTTTTTTTTTTAAACATGGCTAAATTAAACTTCAGTTGTAAGTTATGTGTACAGTTGTTGGGTTATGCTGGATGTTAAAATTAGCACACATCTTTGATTGTGCCTTAAATTCTATTTTTATAGAGATGCTCCCCAGACACACATTAATGAAGTGAACAACAGCAGTAAGACCAATACCTCGCCGCAGTCGAAGCTCTTCAGACTCTTTCTTCAAACGATCGATTTCAGCCAAAAGGTCCTGGTTCTTTGTCTCCACCTCTTGTAGTTTACTAGAGACAGGCATACAAAGCAATAAATAACAAATAACGCCACACACTATTATATTGCATGGGACTAGAATGAACTGTGCAAAGAAAACCATAGCTCAGATCTTGACATAGATCCTTGCTCAGTTATTACTCCTTAAATAAACACTTATTTTCTATGGAAAGGGTCTTGCAAAAGTAAAATGTTGAGAACAAGTCAAACCACAACAACCTGTGAATCACTCGACAGAGGCTGATAATACTTGTATGTGAAAACTAGAGATAGAACCAAACTATTTTGAGTACTTTATTACACTCTTTGTCAATGTTCTTTCTTTAAAGTTAGGTACCCCAGCATCAAATAAACATCATAATGCAACAATTGTCACCATTCAGTGGAGATGTGGTCGGCCTTGCTCTTGTTCAGCTCATCCTGGATGCTCTGTTTGGCTCGAATCTCAGCATCCAGAGCCGACTGCAGCTCCAGCCGCGCGGACATGTCCAGCTTAGCGAACCTCCGCATCTTCCAAGGCATGTCCTAAACAGAAACCATTCGAAAATAGTAAGTAAGGTTCCAGCAGGTACCGCAGTTTGGTGTTGTAGCTTTAAATTGATTGTTACCGTAGCGCGTGCTCCCAGACTGGTGTTCCTCAGTCCCTCGAGTTCTTCGGTCATCTTCGTGGCCAGAGCCTGAAGGTAACCACGAGCGTCCTTCTCATCACTCACCCTGGGGAAAAAAAAGTTTGTTGTTCAGACCCACTAACACTTCTATAACCAACACTATGGGAAAAAAGAGATTACTTGACTTAATCTCATTCTTATTTGAATTTAATATCTCAATGAGTTCATGATTTTTATCTATGTCAGGCTATGATAAGGTGTATTTGATGCTCGATTGAGTTTACGGCAAACTCTTTCGTCTCTGGCAAAAAGAAAACTGCTTTTCAATAGATCAATTAGGTTGAAAACAATGAACTAGATAAAATGAAAAGTAAAAGGCGCAATAGCTATTTGGACATGAAACCTTTGGGAGTCAAAGTAGAATTGCTACATGAGCTTCTCACAAACGTTTTCTAATTTTTCCTTACATATGGGTTAGGGTTTGTTTCGGTTATTAAATTTATTAGTTTATTAGTTTTTCTAAAATTTGTGTTTATGTTCTTGTTTTTATATGTAATCTAACCACTAATTTAGCATCCATATTAAAGATGTAGTCAATGATTTATCCAGAGGCAATTTTTAAATTATCATATTTTTTCAAAAAGGAATGGACATGACTAGATTCCTGCAGCCTAAAAAAATAAAAAATTTTTTTTGAGCTGACCAAAGAAAGAAACCAATGGGATGTGTTCAGATGAATACAACCAATAATAGAATAATAACAATCCAATATCTACCTTGACAGACTCAATAAAACTCGCACTACTCATGACTCACCAGTGGGGGTCACTGTGCACCACAATGGCAGCACAGCCTGTACATTGGCCTGAGTGGCCCCCAGACACCTCCCTCTGCGCTTGTGTGTGGTATGAGTGCTATGTGGAGCCTGCAGCCTGGACAAAGCTGTCAGCCGCACACACACAGGTCACCGGCCTCTTCATCTTTACAGACATGTGCCAAATGTCCCGCTTCAAATTTACTGCGACACCCAATACATTTGCAGACAGCATAACAAACGAGTCTCAGGGCTTTGCTGCACCGTCAATGGTAAAGCCAACTCCCATTGCAGGGTTTACACAGATTGTCCACTTTGCTGCCTACAACTTCTATGAGAGCAACCTCCTCCAAGCTAGAAAGCAATATGGTATTTGCACAAGTAGGAAATTATTCATTATCCACTTTATATGATGAATTAATAGGGAATGTGTTGTCGGATCAAATAAAGTTTCCTTGAACGCTTGGTTGCTAAAGCATGTTACCACTGAATGATCTCCGTGATCTGTGCCTCCCAATGTGCCACGCTTTCCTTCTTATCGGCCAGCTCCCTCATCTCGTCCTCCAGCTGCCGGTTTGAACTGTTCAGCCTCTCGAACATACTGGTGAGCTGAAAACAATGGGAACAGAAATTAAGAAGAGCTGTCATTCATCATAAAAACTTTTAAAAGACCTTTTGGTCAGAAGGTAGAACAGAGAGACTTGTAAGTACAAGGTTTTTGCTTGTTTATATAGATTTTATCTTGCGTCTACTTTTCTTAATCTTGTCAAATCTTCAGTGCATTTAAGCTTAGAGTTGAGGTACCCAACTTTATTTAATAAATAATACATGTTGTTTGTCCCAACAAAGTAAACGCAAGATGCTGTGAATAAATCATACAACAGCATGTTTTTCATGTTCCTGTGTCTTGTGTATTTTGCATAGTTCTGAGAACAAGCCTGTGGGCTAAGAGCGGTCATCTGTTCTGTCTGATTAAAGCTTATCTAAAGATGTGACAGAAGATAAGATTAATGAACAATAGTGAAAGAATCACAATGTTTAAGGAGCAGAAAACCAGATGTCATTACAAACTTAATTGAACACATTCTATTAAAAGATGAAAGCCATCATAAAGCTGTCACTGATGGTATAAAGTCACTCACTAAATGATTGTATGCAAAGTAAACATTTCATCATAAAGGCAGATTTCTTGGCACAGAGTCAAGTTTAGGTTGGACTGGGACCACTCCCTTTTCCTGCAGCCGTCACCGGAGCCTCGCTGACATCATTACAAGTTGGAAACTGCCCTTTTGTTGGAACAGAATGTTTGTTTTGTGGGCACAGATCTGCCTTCTCTGCTCTGTCAGGACTCTGAGGTAATCTGCAAGTCGGGACAGTCCCACAGGAGGATTTAGCAACTTCATGTGCTCTGGAGCTATGGAACTACAGCTGCAACGAGGCCTAACATTTTAAGCCCTAAATGCAAAGGAAAATAGACCTCACACTGCAAAATAATGTAAATTCCCCACTCAAAAATGTACATCAAGAATAAATGTGTGAAACAATTTCCACGGAAAACTACAGTTTAAAATTTCTACAAACCATTGAAAGCAGCAATATGAATCCAACTACTTGACATCTGCAAACTGCTCAAAGACTGAGCGGTGCAGTTCAAAGACAAATCCAGGAAAACAATATTTTGAAAATGAAAATTGTGGCAGTCAGTGTGGACAAAGATCTAATCAGCCATGAGAACTGCAGATTTTAAAACAATATAAGATTGAAAAGATGAATTCAATAATGTTTTCTGCTTATCGTGTCAATCAATATAGCAATATAGCCTTTGATCCGAGCCCATGTGTCAAAACGCCTCCCACTTCTAAGACATTGTTGAAACTTGGGATATATTTCCAAAGTCAACACTGTCTAATTACTGAAGAGAGGAGGAGGCGATGGAGGATATTGAACAGTGATTTCTTTGGCATCACAGTTGGACGAAGGGAGAGGAGGGGGCGGAGGAATGTGATGAAGGAGAGGAGGCGGACCATGGGGGTTACCTGGGGTTAGCAGTGATGGGGGCGAGATACAGGGAGAACTCTTAAAGCACATATGAAATTACACATAAGCTGTAAATTTTTGCACATTTTACCTGGTTGGAAGTCACAGCATACACAGATATGATGGTGGAGGTCAATACTGAATAAAGTTCTAAGGTTCTCATAATACAATAATTATGAACTCAAATTTGTTACTTAAAAGCAATCAATAACTTATGGATGAATATATTTTTGAGGAAAGAAGGGCTTTAGCTAGCCTAGTGTACACAATAGTTATGATTTGACTAGTAGAGATATGAAAACACACCCATCACTTGTAAATTAAATATTTAATTTCATAAAATTTTCTTTAAAAAGTTTTTCTGAATTGTCTTTGAATATATTGAAAATCTTTCTGATCCGTTACAAAGCAATTATTTCCTAAAACTATTAGGTAATACAGGTTCTACCCCACTTAAAAGTAATAACTAGGAAAAACTACAGTTCAGAACAGAAGCAGCAACATCCAAAAGTAACCCTGAAAAACCCCTGAGAAAACCTTGAATTTTAGTTTTGGCTTTGAATCTGTGGAGTAATGTATGCAGTAGACATCTTGGAAACTGGAACCATATGAAATCTCTCCCTTTTCAACTGCACTGTGCCAAAGCAGGACTTCTCAGAAAGTTAAAGTCAATATGTGAGGATTAAGCGCTTTTATCATTATTCATCATTATAAATGTCAGGGAGAGATAAGCCTTATCCACAGTAGGTTAGAAGATCTGTCAAGGGAGGTCAGCAAATGAGGAAAAAGCATTTAATTAATCATTTAAGAAGAAAAAGATACTCTAAAAAACAACAGATAATTGAGAAATATGTTGTTTTGTTCAATACGTAATACATATCAGGATGACTATAACCTGCTGTTATCGGCTCCCATTATTTAAAGAAATAATAAATATAAAATTAACCGGTCGACTAAAGCATGACAGCCCTAAATAAATGTCTGTGTACTACATCTAGTGAACTGCCTTGTGATTGTTTCTATCTTGTTTCGAACAGCACTGAGTTTCCTTGTGTATGAATTGTGCTATACAAATAAACTTTCCTTTCCTTGCCTACATGTCAGGTTTTTCTTCATAGGTCAAGTTAAGATCTGTTAAAAATCTCTAATTACTAAAAAGATTCATTGTTCAGTAATTGTTGGATGGAACTAACTATTTTGCGTCTAGAAAGTTCATTTTTGAGACATTATTTTTGTAATACTCTTAGTTGTAGTTGGGGGCATAGGTCACTTTTAGGCCTCATCATTGTTCAATTCTACTGTTTATTTGAATGATAAAAGATCAAAATATAATGCTATAACAAAATACAGAAATATTTTGTCCATCAAAATGTGTTCTCATGAGAGGCCCTAAGTACAACTTGGTTCCGGAACCAAGGTTCAAGAAACCATCTCCATTTTACAAGTTTTCAATGCTCCCAGATTTGAATCCTAATGCTCTTACCTTGTCAAGTTCACTGGAGAGCTTCTTGTTCTCATCCATAAGCAGCACTCTCTCTCGCTCATATTTCTGCTTGTACTCTGTCTCAAACTCCTCTCGTTCACATTGGCTGAAAAAACACCCAGGCAAAACATTAAAACCCATTACGAGTGCTAAATATATTAAGCTACTGACATTTCATATCCTGTACAAATTTGTCACAAAAATAAGCACTCGAAGCAAAGTGTAGCCAGGACCGTCTCGCATGTCCTTAAATTCTTTTTAGTGGAACCAGGTTGAGATATTTTTTTCCAAACACATTAATGCAAAATCCGATAGAGTTTCAAAATGAATGAGAAAGTAGTGAAAGTACGCGGGCAGGAAGGGTAGACCAGCGGGTACAAAAACACATCTCTTAAATCGGCTCAAAAACAAGATTGTATTAAAATTTGATTAGCGCAGCAGTTCAACAAAAGTGGATTTCGGTGGCCTTAGAGTACTTGATGGGGGGTCCGGGGCAGAAAAATAAGTGGTTTTATTTCTCTGCAAGTCTCAGGAGTTCAAACACAGAAAAGGGGCACTGAAAAGGGTCTGGATAAAGCTTTCTGCTACTACGGAGGGGTCCTAAGCTGTATGGCCTGGTTTCTAACAAGAAGTAATATGTGTATTGGTACATTCCACATTGTGACACAGCTTAGACTGACATTGCCAAACATTGTATTCAATTACGTAAATATTTAAACTTTAAGAACAAAAAAATTGAACAAAAACAATTACACACTAATCAAGCAGAGGTAATGATGTTTTTTTGGCAGATTTTTTGATAACATATAAGTAAACTGCCAAGTGAAGTAGAAATACATAGACAGACTGATGAGCCATAAATAAGGCAGAACAGGCTTTTAGAGCGTGCCCGTATAGATTGTCCAAAGATTACTTAATATGGTGGAAACTGGCTCACAAAACCTAATGGAAGGACACTACTACATGACAATGGAAACTAGACTAGACTATAATTGCTTTTGTTATTACCTCTCAGAATCATCACTGTAAGGAAAAGCAATAAAGAGTTAGTCCCAAACCAAATATAACAGTAAAATAAAGAACGGCTATAAAAGCCAAGTGCGGTAAAAACACTCAACAAAAACCTTAAACCATAGTAATGGTAAAGAATTGTGTCTATTTAGCATTTGTATTGAGATTAAAGTGATAGTGTAAAATAAAAATAAAACACCTATTTGCATATACCATTATCAAAATGCGTGTCTGGTCCTTAGAGTGAATGTCACGGTTACTTTTCAAACTGAGGAGGGTGAAACTTTTTCAAGACAAGCTTAGGTTGTACCATATTAGTCCTGTTCTCAGGTATAGATCTAAAGCTAAAGCAGCTCTGCTTGTGTACAAGTCTCTCCATGGCCTTGCGCCAAAGTACTTATTGGTGCAAGGCCAAGTACAGGTGACATGTTTGTGCCATTCAAACCAACTCAGACATTGAGGAGGAGGGGGATTGACATCCTGCTGGAGCCCAGAATCATTTTGACTCATCTAACCAATCCATATTGAATGTTGAAATGTCTTGTTACACTAATAATGACATCCTTTCTCTTCATTTCTGGAAATACACACCTCTCTCTGCGTGTCTTGTCCAGCTTGTCCTTGAGCACCAGGATCTCCTTCTGCAGAGCCAGGTGCTGACTCTCCGCGTCTCTCAGCTCCTTCTTCAGAGCCTTGAGTTCGGAGCTGTGCTGGGCTTCTCTGCGTGACAACTCCTCCTCGAAAAGCACAGTCTTCTTCTCCAGGTCCCCGCGCAGCCGCCCCATCTCCTGCGACTGGTCCGCGGAGGGAGAGGTGGCGTTGGGACCAGGCGCCTTCAACTGGAATAAAGTCAAAATCCGTTAACCTGAAACCTGTATCACTTCAAAGCTGCAGCAACTGAACAGCTCAACTTTTGCTTTGATATGTATTGGACATATATAGTGTGGATAAGTAATATAAGGATTAACTGGTTTGAATTGATAACCAGCTAAGAGAGCTGTGAGTGTAATTGCTAGAATTTATAACAGAAATAAATACAAGAACAATATATAAACAATATGTAGAGAAGCCTCATGTTGTAATTCTGATACTTTGGTGCCTAAATGGTTAAAGCGTACATTCAAATATTAATAATCCAACACAAATTCCTAATTTGAAGATAAACTTCCGAAATCCAGCCATGTAACTAATGTAAATGAGGAAGGAATCGCTCCATCCTCATGTTATTAGTTGAACCAAAAGCACTTTAACACATTCATGTTTGTTTATTGTGTGAACATGCTACTCACTTTGAGCCCCTCCAGCTCCTCCTCCAGCTGACGACTGTACTGCTCGTTTCTCTCTCTCAGCTTTCGCTCTTTCTGAGCCTCTGCTGCCTGCTCCTCAGCCTGAGCCTCCATCTAATCACAAACAATCACGTCAGCTATGCAAGAAACAGGATAAGTCAATATAGAGAAGCAAAGCATTTATTTGGTCTTTAGATGGACCATTTATTAGAGCCAATGTTGTTGTAGGAAAGATAAGGTTAGCTAAAATGATTAAGGCAAGCATAACTGATGCAATCTTGGCTGACAGGATCAAATTACTTACAAAGCATATCGTTCATCTACAGTTGGCAAATGCATCCTGATACCAAAATCAGGCGGAATGTAAACACTATTGTCAAAACTTAAGTGCCAAAAGTAAACAATATCCACAATGAATATCATAAATTAAACAATACATTTTTCTATTCATGTAAAACGTATTGAGTAGAAACAACAAATATAGAAAAGGTTTAAATGGTAATGCAAATTTACAATTAACACTAAACCTGAAACCTCTTTAGATGTCATTGCTCGTCACACAAAAAAAGAGCCAATAGTCTACTAATTACCAGTACACTTCTACACAACCACCACAGGAAAATATTAAAAGTGACAGGACAGAACGGGGAGCTCTATCAAACACAGGGATCTACTCTACCTCCTTCTTTGCTCTCTCAGCCTTTCGCACCTCAAGCCTCAGAGACTCCACCTTCTGCGTTTGACTCTCAATCTCCTCTTCTTTGTCCCGCAGCTGACGGGACAGGCGCTGCTTGGCCGATCTGGAGAAAAAACAACAAAAGTGAAAAGATGGAGATGTAAAAAATCTAATAAATTACCGTTAAACCTATTATAGTGTGTCATTACCCATCAAAAACCAGGAAGTGGGAGGTAAGCGTGCTATTGTTGTTGATAGTTTTACTGTGATAGCAGAACTCAATTCAACTGTAAGCTGTGGTAATAGACTCAATGCGATTAATTGTTAGGAAGTTGGGATAGATGAAAAGTGAGGAACTAGTTTCAAGTGAGGAAGTGAGGAACTAGTTTATATACCAAAAATGTGTTTAAAATGTAGTAAAGCTTATATTGTAAAATGAATGAGGAGAAAAGATAGGAACACTCATTTTTTGTTGGAAATAATTTTCCAAAGATAAAAGCAGGGGGTGCCGCACAAAATACTTTAGTTAAACAAGTTAAAAAGCGTTTACATATTTATCACAGGGTTGTGGAGTGCAACATTGAGAGAAAAGATAACTGTTCCGAGATGCTGTTGTCATATGTGCTGTGTCTGCACCTGAAGTCCGTCAGCTTCTCGTTGAGCTCCGAAAACTCTTTCAGAGTGACTTTTCTCTGAGTATGTGCCTCCTTCAGATCCTTTGACTGAGACTTGAGCTTCTCATTGGCCTCTATCAAGTCCTGCCATAGGAGAAAAAAAGAAAAGTATATGAATATTGAATCATTAGTATTCAATAGTAATCAAAACGTATGTGACTATAGTACGATAAAGGGATTTTTGGTTTAAGAAAAAAGTATTTTCTGTCAAGTTTCCCGCTTGCTGCCATAGATACGTTATTGCTTTGCTTGGAATGCTCCTTGGTCCCTTGAAAATGACGTTCTGTAAATTTGAAGTAGCTGGTGAAAAATCCTATTGTCACCTGTTTGTAAAATGTGTTGTATGCCATGGGATATGTGAGAGCAAGCTTAGATACTTAAATTCAGATTCCACACCTGCAGCTGTTTTATGCAAGTGCAGAAATAAAATTAAAAGCCAGGTCTGTATAAAACAACAGGGTAACTAGTACTGTATAATAATTCCTCATGGCGTCATTATTTGGGTAATAAAATGCAATGTAGTAAACCATCCATAATAAATCAATGATGACACTTATATACGTAGTGTACCGTGTGGAATCCATGTCAGTATGTATGAAATGTGTGTGAAACAGTTTGTGCCTGACTGGGCCTGATTTAATCCACTGTTGCATTTAATTGTGACGTCGCTACTTTTGAGCCAGTACCTTTTAAGTGTATTTTTATTTATTTATTTGAACAGGGACAATTAACGATAATTAACATTTCTGTAAAAGCAGCAGTACCTTGTTCAGGTCATCTCGCTCCTGTGCAACACTCCTCATCTGTTTTTCCAGAGTTTTGATGTGTTTGGACGAATCCTCCAGGTCTCTGCGTGCCATTGTCACATCCTCCAGCTGCTTCTCCAGCTGACCCGAGTCTGACACAAAACATTAAGAGAAATATGTTTAAGAGCTCTGCGCTCGCAAAACGCCAGACGTCTGGTGGTTTCTAAAGTCTCAAAAAGCACTGTCGGTGGCAGAGCATTTAGCTACCACGCTCCTTTACTGTAGAATCAGCTCCCTACGCACGTTAAGGAATGTCTCTATATTCAAGACCAGGCTTAAAACAGTCCTCTGCAATTTAGCATTTGGTTAGGTAGATGAGACTAAAAATCTTAGATTGTCTGTTATTGTCAGATATTGTTTTCATTACTATTCACCAGTTATCCCTTTGTCAATTTCATGGCGCGACGATGGGACCCGGGAATCTGGCCCCCTCCATCAGCACCTGCGGACTGCCCTGCCCGACCCGCATTGTGGGCTGCACCCCGATCCTGTCCTCGTTCTGTAGCTTAGGTCCTGGATTTATAGCCAATCCGTCCGTGTGAAGCAGATCCCTCTCTCAATGTGGACCTCCCCGAGGTTTCTCACTTTTCTCCCACTGGGTTTTTAGAGTTTTTTCCTTGCCGATGCAGGTGGGTCTGTTAGTGGGCGTTCAGATCGGATAATGCGTTGCGTCCAGTTTCAATGCAAAGTCAATGGTGATGGACCAATAACTGTGTCCTCTATGTTTTGTGTTTGAACAGTTTGATTCTTTGATCTGTGTTGATGAATTTAAAGAGCGACTAAACACCAAATCAACTTTTTTTAACTCATAAACTGCATAAGTATGTTTATTGTAGTGCTGTCTACATATCCTGGTAATTTTTTTGACATTTTAGTTCAAATTAGATAAAATATCACTTTTGAGCCAAAAAACGCTGTGTGGTGCCCTCTCAACCTTTTTGGTGGTACTACATTTGAATTTGGTTCTGGCCTCTCCATTGACTCTGAAGTTCTCTATGACATCAGTTGTTTTGTGTGACGTCAGTCTGTCAGAGCCAGTGATATGAACCCATTCAATTCTCACACACGCCCCAGCTGCAGTTTGGAGTGTTCTGGCGCCATCTAGTGGATTAAAATTAAATTACATGAGTCATTCTGAGATTATTGAGTGTAATTAGGTTCAGGTGTGTAGCTTTACAATTATCTTAGTGTGTAAACAAGAGTGGAATGAGACTTTCTGGTCTGTAAACTATTGCTTTAAGCAGCAATGACAACTGTCTGTTTTTTTGTGTGTGACAAGTGAGCTGTCAATCACAGCCCAGACCACGCCCAACTCTAAGCCCCCCTTCTTGTCCCTTGGTCCTCCAGGCAACGCCCTTTTTAGAGAAAATTTTTAAATCTTCATGTGGGCGGAGTAAGGCTGGGCACAAGTGTTTAGTTGCTCTTTAACAGTTTTGTTAAGTCTTCTGAGAACTACTGTTGTGATTTAGGGTTTTACAAGAATAAATAGACTTCTGACCTGCAATTTGCTTCTTGAGGATGTCGATCTCGCTCTTCAGACTTCTGATCTCCACCTCTTTGTTGTGGTTGATGGGACTGTCTCCGGACGGGTGCTGCAAAGCTTGTACTGCTTGAGTGGATTCTGCACAGACGAAAGATACGTGGAAGATACGTTTCCCCCTGATTTATGTGTCAAAACTCTAATATCCTTATCAAGTTGGATAAAATCTCTTTGCCATTTCTTATCAAAACATCCAGAAAGTGGTGCCATAATTAAACTGCAAGAGTTGATTGTTTAGATAAGAAATTAGATAAAACAAAAACTAATGACATTTTTGGGGATACAGGTTTGGCCGTTTATTATAAAATGTTGTCACATCCCAGCACCACAATTAAGGCTTATTCAAGAAAAGGTCCATAGACAGAGAATTGACATTACATACATATTTTAATAATATTACATAAAAATGTTGATAGACTTGTCGAACTAAGCAGTTTGAGATACCTTTTTCATCATTCTCACCTTGTAGTTTGCGGCTAAGTTCGACTTTTTCCTGCTCGAGTCGTCTGATCCGCCGCTCGTAAGCCTCCACCGCCAGACTGTCCTCCAGGCCACGCTGCACCTCCTGATCGACCTGATCATGGCCCCCTCTCCCAGGCTCCCCAGATAACTGTCTCAGGCACCCGCGGTCCGACAGGATGCTGTTAGGAGAAACGACAAACTGTAGTTAAAGCTGGAGTAGCTAGCTTTTCCCCCACCTTGTTTGTCCCAACAGAAAGGGTAAAAGCTAAATGTTGCGAAAAAATCAGATGACAACATCTTTTGCACGTTTGCAATAATATTTTTAGATCCAATCTTATTGGCTTTCTCTGATGTTCACCTAAACCACAGCTGATTTAGCTTTGTCCAAATTGGCCGCATCACTATATAGGCCACAAGGTTTAAAGAACTTGAGAAAATTATTTGCGATTTTGAAAACAATAAGGTGGGCTAAAGGATGCATGTCCCTCTTCAGACTCTCATGTTGTGTGCATTTGTCTGTGGTTTGGGGTGGGTCTGTTGGGTGGTCTGGGTGAGGGGTCTTGGGCCGGCGGGATTGTTTTTAACCAAACTGTAAAGCACTTTGTGTTGCATCTTTTGTATGAAGATTTTATAACTAAAATTTGATTGATTGATTGATTATAAAAATGTACAACAACATTGTGTCATAAACAAAGTAATTCCCAAATAAATGTTTGCCGTGTATACAGTAGTAAGGACCAAAAAAATCCAGATTGGCATGGGTTATTTAAAATTGAAATAAATCATGCCAATCATAAACAAGACAAATGAGAGTATTCAGAGTTGCTTTTGAAGATTTTGAGACCGAGCGACAACAGCAGAAGGAACGTCTTTGGTGCAAGACAGAAAGGTGTTCTCAGGATGTTGAGTCATGGAAGGACATGGTGACGGACTCTAGACACAACAGAGGCCACGTAGGCAGACAGAAGAGCAAAGACTCAGTGGGAAATGTGGAAAAAAGTAGAAAGGAGCCATTATCAGTCGACTGTGAAGAGATAAGAATGCAAGTGTTGGCTTTTTTCTCACGGTGGGTGATTTAGTGTGAGATCTGCAGCACCTTATTAGGGAGGAGAACGCTTTGTTTAAGAGACAGGGACTTGCCGCAGGAAGAGAGGAGTCTGGGAACCACCCTAACCCCTTAAAAACTGATACCTATGGCTTATGCATTAAGAATTACTTTTCTTTACTTACATGTAGATTACTCATTTTTGTATGCTATATTGCTGTATTCTTTTCCACAAGAGACATGTAGAGTCCCTTTATTACAAACATGTGAAGGAAATGATTAACTTTTGCATTTGGGAAAAGGGGAATTTACTTACCATTTACTCGTGTAGGTGAATCCTACAAACGGAAGGTGGTGCCCAGAGAACGCTGTGTGAGACGGAGGTGGCATCGTTTCCTATGAGTAAATATTAGATTAGCCAATAGCCTTTTAGTAGGCAAGGCAAGGCAAGTTTATTTATATAGCACAATTCATACACAAGGCAATTCAAAGTGCTGAACAGAACAAGAAAGCATTAAAATCATAAATAATCACAGTACATTAAAAAAAGATAAAAATATAAAATCCCTCAGTTGTATGCACAGCTAAACAGAACTGTTTTCAACCTTGTCTTAAACATTGTCAGAGAGGAGGCCTGTCTCACATCTTCAGGAAGACTGTTCCAGATTTTAGCAGCATGAATCTGAAAAGCAGCCTCCCCATGTTTAGTTCTGACTCTGGGCACTAACAGGAGTCCAGTCCCTGTGCTCCTCAGAGTCCGGGCTGGTTCATATGGGACTAACATGTCACTAATATAGTTTGGTGCGAGGCCATGGAGAGATTTGTACACAAGCAGAGCTGTTTTAAAGTCTATTCTCTGAGCCACAGGAAGCCAGTGCAGGGACCTGAGGACCGGACTAATGTGGTCGTACTTCCTGGTTCTAGTCCGGCCTTGAGCTGCTGCATTTTGAATGTACTGCAGCTGTTTTACAGCCTGTTTGGACAGACCTGTGAGCAGGCCATTGCAGTAGTCTAACCTACTGGAGACAAATGCATGGATAAGAATCTCCAGGTCTGCTTTAGACACTATGTTTTTGATCCTGGCAATGTTTTTTAGATGGTAAAAAGCTGCTGATGTTACTGATTTGATGTGGCTATTAAAATTTAAGTCTGAGTCCAGTATTACCCCTAGATTTCTGACCTTGTTTGAAGGTTTTAGGGAGAGAGACTGTAGGTGACAGATGACGCTCTCTCTTTGTTTATGGGGACCAAAGACAATCATTTCAGTTTTGTCTGCGTTTAGCTGAAGGAAGTTGTTTTGCATCCACTCACTGATCTGTTGGATACAGTGAAGGAGTGAGTCCACTGGTCCATGTTCTCCTGCAGTCAGTGAGACATAGATCTGAGTGTCGTCTGCATAGTTGTGATAGGACACTTTTCAGTATTCAGTAGAATAAACATTAATACATGCACTAAGCAACGTGGGAAAGCAAATAAAAGCTGATATCACAAAATAAAATGGACACTTTATTCAAGAGCAATATTGACCAAGGCCATTTTAGTGGTTATACTTGTATCCGTTTTCAACTATTGGTTATTTTAAAAAAAATAAAAAAAATAAGTGGTTCAACATTTTTCAGAATCATACAGAGTTTTTGAGGCAGTCGTCGTCCACATCAAAGTTGGAAGTGTCCGTGGGGCTGCTGACTTCAGGGATGTAAGGGGCCTCGCATGAGAGTACGTTTTCCCAGTCAATGCCTGAGTAAAAAGTACATTTTGATGAGTCTGAACTTCCACCCTTTCTTTGTGTAAAGTGCCAGGACTGGGTTTGTACCAGAGAAGAAGGGGTGCTGTTTGAAGTCTTCGATGCCGTTCTGTCCCAGTCGGTGCTCTCTGCTGCAGATGAGGCGTCGGATCAGATCTTTAGCGTCTTCCGATACATCTGTGACCTGCTGAGGAAACTGGAACCGCTCCTAAAAACAGACACAAATCCTAGTTTTAAATATTTATGACAAAAATGTACTATTCCAATTTATCTTCAAAAAAACTCTATTTTTATAGAAAATAATAATAAACATGTAAACTTTACAACATTTATAATAATTGTTTATTTTACAGATCCAAGCAAGTACTTAGTAATTTCCATTATCCAAAAAGCCCACGTATCGGTATTGGGATTTGAAAAACTGGATTGGTTCATTGCTACTAACTTTCATACTAAACTCACAAATCATCTTTATAATTGGCTTTGAGGAAACACAGATTACCTTGTGGTTCATAATTTTCCCGTAAGTCTCCACCAAACTCTCGGCATAGAAAGGCGTCTCTCCGTACAGCATCTCGTACATACAGACTCCCAGGGACCACCAGTCGCACTCGGGCCCGTACTTCCCCTTCCCGTCCTCCATTGCCTGGAGAATTTCTGGGGAGATGTAGTCTGGAGTCCCCACTGCAACCGACGACTGGACCTACAAGGACAACAGAGGTTGAAGAGGTTGGGCAGGAAAATATGTGCAAAAAATTTATGAAAAAAAATCATAATGCAATGATAGTATGGTATGATAACAAGTCTGTACAAAGCACACTCCAAATGATAATAAAATAAAATAAAATATCAATTTCACATTGAATCCTTTGCAGAGGGTCCAGAGTAAAAGAGCATTTATAAAATGTATTTTCGATGCCAATTATAACTGAAATTACACAATAAAATAAGTCATCTTTGAAGTCCTTTTGCGGATTTGACTTGCAATTGTTAATATACAGTGAGTAATTGTCCTGACAAACATCCTTGATGGTCAAAATGTGTTGACATTTTTTTGCAATACAGGATTTTTTTCTTTAAAATCAGCTCGCTTTGGGCTATTTTTTTTTCTTCTTGATGAGGTGTCCTTCATTTGTGTCAAAAGATATAAACAGGGTGACAGCCCCTAAAGCAAACATCTTTGAAAGAGTACTAAAATATGAATACATGCAGTAGTTCCAAGCATGTTTATTAACATGTACAGTATATACTAGGTCTAAATACAGAAACTACAGGAACAGAATATCCAAATTTTAGTGCAAATGTCGTCTTCCAAAGGCTTTGAGAAAGACAGAGGCAGAATAATGTTTAGCAGTAATACAGATAAAACAATTTTTTTGAACAGATTTGAGTTAAATTAGGAAACTCTTGACAATGTGATATTAATTGTACACTACACTGCACACTCCTTAACTACTAAGGATGTCACGATTTTGTTTTTTTTAATCAAAATGGATTGATATTACGCCATGGTCTAGAGGATCGAAATCAAAGAGCACCAACGATCACTGTAGCGCTTATTGCGTCTGTGCCCACGTGCCCGGAATGGTCATGGTTAACCCAGACTATTTAACTGATGGACCGGCGCTTCTTGGTTTTTTTGGTAAACGAGAGCGCATTAAAGTTAGTTTACGTGCTCTTCTGAATAGTTGTACCCACAAATCCAAGTCTGAGGAGGCAGCCGGTAAGACCCGCTTGTTTATACGGACTTTGTGTGGCGCGATCAGTTCTGTACGTTATTTAGCACACTTGAGCCGCGCTACTGTACTTTAAAAAAAAATAAAAAATCAAATCAAATAGAAAAGAGGATTTGGAGAATAGTGACACCCCTATTAAATACACAGTGGCATTGCTCCTGTCCTGGATGAGAGTCTGACATCACCACATTCTCATATCTGAAAAAACAAAAGCTGCCTGGAAATATGTCACCCATAGAATTCTCATTCACAACAGCTCGTGTGATAATGAGCGCATTGATGAGAAACAGCTGAGTTGTGGAAGTGTGGATGATGGAAATGATCTCCCACAACAGCAGATAAACAAAGGCTGTATTGAGGTTGTCTCCCCCTGCATGGTCAACCCCCTCACGGACGCACGCGGCTCCAGCAGTACCGTCTCTGGAGCCGTTTAGGAGGTTACTTCGAGGCATGGAATAGAATCAAATAAAATCTTCAACTGAATGGGAAACATTCATATAGTCGGAACAAACGGTAACGTTAGCAAGTAAACAAAGTGTATAATACTGGAGCATTCCTATATGAATAATGTAAGATAAGAAACTTTATTGATCTCACAATGGAGAAATTTACAAGCACAATGTCAACATATGATGCTTAAGACAATCCCTCCAACCTAATCTAAATAGTACAGGAAACTAAATTAATCTACCCCTTATTTGTCATAATTGCCACAGGTGAGCAAGTAATGTTAATGTATAAAGTCCTGTATAAAGACGGAGCGCACACAGACTGCTAGATCCGAATGGTGGCTGTGTGCTGTACATGCATGTCTGAAAGGTCGCATTTAGTGTTTGAACTTGGGCTGGACAATATACTGTTCATATTACATTTAGCTTGAACGCAGCAGTTTAACCTCTGGGATAGAGGTGGGATTAGGATACATCAGTGCACCTGCTGTGGCTGTGAAGTGTCTTTCCAAAGGACACAACAGTCTGACCTTGAGAGCCACATACCTACCACTTTGTACTTGGTATTCCCACCGGTCTCCCATCACAACACTGACCAGATGGAGAGTTTTTCAAGCAGTTATGGCCACAAGATAAAAATTTCCTTGATCAGTTCACAAAAAAACACTAGTAACTCTATGCATGTCTTATTCAAGTGTAATAAATGAGGAAGAAAAGGGATTATACGAGAAAAACATAACTTTTCTTGACCCAATGTTCTATAATTGAACTTTATGGAGCAACTCAGATGTTTTTGTGTTAGACTATTGTGGGTGAATCATAAAAACGCACACTCAGCCAAGATCCAGGGCTTTAGTGGGCCATGGGCCTGCGGGGGAGGGTAGTGCTGGTATGTTTGCCTTGGACTCTGGGATGCCTCTGCTGCACACTGTGGTTACACTCACCGTTCCATCCTCCATGAGTTTGAGACAGGAGCCAAAGTCAGCCAAGCGGATGTGGCCGTTCATGTCCAGCAAGATGTTGTCAGGCTTAATGTCCCTGGAAAATAGAAACATTTGAAAAAAGTCAGTCAATCTGGCATCATCTAAAGGAAAGCAGGATCTTCATGTGTATTGTTTATTTGGATCCCCAAATGCAACATGCAGCATTATACTGGGATCATTTGAGACAACGAAAACGTACATACAGCTGTTGTGACCTTTCTTGTAGTAGAGCTAACTATTGATGCTATTAAAAATATTTAATTCCATGGACACAAGCAAGTTTCATGGCGGTTTCAAGTTCTGAGGCTGAAGAGGCAAGCCTGTTCACAGTAAGTTTGGTCAAAATAATCTTCATGCCACAGAAGAATAACATCTGCATAGAAGGTGATGCATCCACTAAAAATAAAAACAAAGACAGGGTACAGACTTTAACATCAGTTATCAGGTGGTCTATTATATCCATCATAAAGACCACAGGCGACAGTGGCTCAGTTGGTAGAGCATTGGCCTTTGAGCCTGAAGGTCGTGGGTTCGAGCCCACCATAAGACCTACTACATGACTCCCACTGATGACTGCTGTCGTTGTGTCCTTAGGCAAGACACTTAACCCCACTTTGCCTGAAGCTCCTACTGAAAGATCTCAGCTCCTGTGGACTCACCACCTGCAGGAGGATCAGTGAGGGGCTGGTGCTATGTGTACTGGGTGCAGCTCTGACTGCCACCCCCCCGACCCAGAAATGGATTAAGCGGAAGAAAATGGATGGATGGATGGATAAAGACCACAGGGACATTGGAGACTCCCAAACTGGGATAAAAATTCAAAAAATGAAAGACTTTAAAACCCCTACACATACTATACTGCATTTTCTAGTATCAATACGCTTGAAAAGGATTTAAAATACAAGCAGTGTACTACCAACAACCCTTTATAATATATTAAATAAAAAATCCAGGGGAAACCAAGATGCCTGAACTTGCTTTCACCACAAGAGATTATTATGAAGTATTTGTAGAAGAATTAGGTGCAATTTCCGTGTATTCATTTATCAGCTCAATGACAGGGGAAAAGTGCTGAGGGACAGAACAAAAACGGGGACGGATTCTAGTGTTGGGAAAAATTGTGCATGACGTGTGTTTAAAGTATCCGTTTTCACTTGTGCCGAGACCGAGCCGTGTTTTTGACTCTGAAACTTGCTCCATTCGAAGGAAATATGCAACATGTAAACAACCTCCCAATGTCTAAAATAGGTCCTTGTGCCCTACTCCCTCACACTCGTTTTAACATTTTTTTCTAAGTGGAAAGGAATAGACAGGGGAGTAAAAGCTCAGCATCAAATGTGATCTTGGTGGATACTTTTGTCTTCAGGACTTAATCTGTGCTAAATTACTTTGTAGAACAACCATTTAGAAAAAGATTTTCACTCATTTGACGTCAGAACATTCTTAACGCCCGTTCTGTGAGATGGAGACAGAGGGTAAGCAAGAACTCAGCTGAAATTGCTTCTATATTCACAAAGCAGATGGGCTGGTGTGGTTTATGGTTAATAGTGCAGTAATCATTGGGTTTATCTACAGGAAATAAAAGACTGTCAAAGTATTCTCCTCCAGAAATTATTACTGGTCATAGTTTGGCAAAGAAAAAAAAAATTTTTTTTTGAATAATATTTTTTATTTTTTTTTTAAGACAATTGAAGTTGAAAATGCATGTGGGGCGTGATATTAAACATAATCACGGAGAAGCCTGGTGGAATGACCTTCATCCCAGTTGATCTGGAGTCAGATTTGGATACCATTTGTCCTCAATGACCCAAGTTACTGAATGGTAGTAAATGCTTTATTCTTAATACGCTCAGACGATGTATGAATTGCTCATTCATGGATTTTTTCAGACTTGCCCGAAGCTTAAATCCACAGCACAGTGAAATGTCCTCCTGACCCTGTGTCACTGCATGAGACAGACGCCACTGTTGAGGGCCCAAATATAGAGTCCCAGTCTGACCACCGCAGTGATTCCCCCCCGAGGGGCAGAACGCGCCGAGCCATGTGTCTGAGGCCTCTTTATCAACACAGAAGCGACACTTGGATCAAAACCACTCACAAAGTCAAGCGTACACAAACAACTCGCGCCAAAACATCGCAAGCCGAATATAAACCCTACATTGACTCCACAAAGCAACAGACAATCGCAGTCACAGGTTTTGAAACAGAGCGGGTGTTATTTCCGTCTCGTGATGTGGGCTTAAAATAAACCAGCGTTGCCAAGTCACCGCGCACACATTAGCAGCCTTCAGTGCCAGCGATGCCAGTGTTAATCCTCACATTGAGATGTCGTGCGCAGAGATCATGAAATATTCTCACCTTACAACAACGCGTCTTGTGATGGCTCTTACTCATACAAGTTACTACAGCAAAGGAAAGGTGGGGTAACATTTTGTTCACGTCAACTTACTGTATATAGACTAGAGACGGCAAAGAAAGCAAATATATATCAGACCATAACACTTATTCAAAAACCTTTCAACCATTATATACTGTGAGCTGAGTGAGGGTCGGTACACTCGCCTTCACTGAAAAAGGCTATCAAGTGAATAAGTGAACAGTTTCGAGAGCAAGAAAAGTAATTAATTTAGTTATTTTATTGCAGTCTCAAAGTTACATACTCCAGCTTTAATATCAGTAGAATGAAGCTTAATTGTAGGAAACCCTTAGTCAGATATATGCCCACTTGTTGCGTTTGCAAGTTTGGAGTAATGGGGGAAACAGAAGTACTTTGAGGAAACCATAGAGAGCAGGATGTTCTCCTCAAACTTCACACAAATGCCACAATCGCTCCTGGAACCAGAAAGATCCACATAACTAAACAGATGTTGATTAGATTAATATATTTGACCTTGAAACAGCCGGGCACATCCTGGCAGACGACAATCAATATAGCACTGTCTGGCTTAGCAATCAAATGAACAAAAATACTGGTTTATATCCCCTCAAATTCCTCTTTCAAGATATGAAACAAACAACACCAGGGCTGGTAGGGGGATATTATTCTTGTGAGACACATAAAGCAGCTTGAAAGGGAACTTTGATGTCCTGTCTCATGATGTAGGCCTTCAAAGCAAGCTGTGAAGCCCCCTGTTATTTTCCAGTAGCGTTAATAGTACTATCTAATAAGCCACAAGCACTGGGTGGAACTGAAGAGCTGCTAACTCTCTAACCTTTTACACAGCTGCTAACAGATGTGGCTAATGGAATATGTTTAATGCATACAATACAAGCATTACTAATATAGGACAATCTAGTTTTCAGTACAGTTCAACAAAGGAATCGGGTACATCTGAATACTAAACTCAGGTGTATTAAAATTTAGACCATCAAAAGTTGTTTTGTTAAACCATAATTACCCATAAGCATCTGCTTCGTCCAAACCCTTTTCAAACTGTATTGCAGTTTATTGTTTTGTCATTTACTGTACATAAGTTTGAAATAAATAATTACTACATTATACTAAACGTATACTTTTGCTTTAGTGAGCATTTGATTTCAATCAGATTTGAGTGAGATGTCAATTTGGTATGTCGTCATTCGTTCCCAATAAAAAAATAATAGTAATTACCATCCACTGTTTTAAAAGAACTTCCATGTTTGCCACTTTTGGGACCAGGTACTACTATCAACAACGATGACACTAATGTTGGCACAACAACTTGGCAATCGACACAAACGAGGACAAAGAAAAATAGATATGGGATTTGTCCTTAAGAAACTTTTGGCCTGAGATCACCTGTCCTCTTAGTCAATATTGAAAAGATTAACTAAAAAGGGGAACCTTGGACAAAATCAAAGAGATAAGGTCCTGGATGTACATCTAAGAAACCATTAGAACCAGTCTCCTGTCTGATCTAAAGGAGCATAAAGTGCTATGTGACAGAAGATGACAGTGTATGTTAAGTTTCTGAGTTTCAATATACATTCAGGGCAAGTTATACATCTAAACTCAATATCATATTAGTTTTCATAGTGGAAAGACATCCAGTTAACAATGTTGACAAGTTGGTTCTAAGATATAAATAGCAGAAAAAAATACTCGTAGTGACATATTTATGCTGCTCCACCCACGGGTGCCTTTGTGGCCAGTTCGACTTTTGCTGAGCCCAAGAGCCACAACATGGCTGACCTTTGACTTCCTGCATTTGTGTGGTAGACAATGAGGATAAAAGAGGCATAAGAATCTCTACTAGTGTGGCTAAACCAAGCTGTGGTTAGCACTGCTTTACACCGCATAAAACTCCCTGCTTTCAGCCACCTGACAAAACACTGAATCATTCTGACTTCGCCATTCAGACTTATACAAAAAGAAATTAAATACAGCGCATAAAAACAGGAAAAATATTGAAAATGCATGCTAGGCTAGTAATGGCAGCTAATTGGGCTACTGTGTTGGCGGACTCCTGTGGTCTTCAGGAGCAGAGACCAGAATAGAGAGCGGTAATCTCCTCTAAGACCAACATCCATCTGTAGAGACCATCTGGACCGCACCTCTCCCGACACACAGCCACACGCACAGATATACACAACCAGGAAAACACACAATTACACACAAACAGCATGAGGACGGCTGCTCTGTGTGCGCTCGTCTGCAGATGGCCATTTACACACACACACAGCATCACTCTTGACTTCTGGCCTCAGCTAAGAAATACGGCGCGTGATCAAAGACTATTTAGACTGAATATGGAAGACCGCTTAGTGCCTTTTTCCCCCAATTAACCAAATCATAAATTAAAGATAAACTGCAATAAATGGATAGCCTAATGGGGCTAGTTTCATTATTCAAACAGTTATACATAAAGTATGTGATACAAACATTGAAAATCATTATTAGCTAAAAAAAATAAATAAAAAAAAATGTTCCTTTCTTCTTTTCTATTGAACATCATCAGTGTGTGTTCATCAAAAGCTATAGAATATTAACTACAACTTCTTGTTTAGGTGAGCATTGTAGCCTTGTAACTATTTAAAGGTGTATAGGATTTTCCCAAATGTAAGGAAAGAACCGCCCTCTCCACTTTTTGAACAAAACTCTCTGGTCTTGATGATCCACCCGGAAGTAGAAAATCCTCCTATATACCTTTAACTCTAGTGTAAATAATATAAATCAACTACATGTCTCATTATTGAAGTGATTTTAAGTATGTTACATTGTTTACCACAAGGAAAAAACCTTTGAAATACTTTTAAAAATGTATTTATTCATATGTTGTGGCATCTGCTATGCAAATTATAATTTCAAGGTCTGTCTAATCACTTAAAAGTCCAAATAATTACCACAATAAAATGCCTTTTAGAATGAGTAAAATACAGCAGATGCAGCAGATATATTGGCAGACAGGAAGCCCTTTGATGACTGAAGTGTGCCCAAGTGCCTCCTCAGTCACTGGTCTATGAAGCGGATCAATAATGACCCACAAGACTGTCAATTGGGTCGTCAATACAATGACGCGTTGCCAATGGAGCAGTTTTCAGACACAGATGCCACATTCGGAGCACTCAAGAGTCTCTGCACTCAACTCCCTTGTCTGATTAACATGACAAACCCCAAGCTCTCTGTGGGGTTGATATAAGAAATAGACAAACTCAATAGAAAGACGGGACAATAACATCAGCTTCATACAGAGTAATTTGCTTTTATGCCCTAGGTGGACTAAAATTACAAAGAGAAGATTTGGCAATAGGTTACTAAGGTAGACCTAGAAAATAGATCCATTTCATGCTTCATAATAATTTATTATCTAATTTTTTCCTGTCTGTTATTTTTTCCGTCAGTAAAAAGTCTTCTTTCACTACTTCGACAAATCTCTCTCGGCATCTTGCCTGGCAGTGCTAACTTCAGCCTCTTTACTACACATATATTCACAAATCGTTCTTTTGCTCAAGTCATCTGCTTTTGATCCAAATAAGAAAAGCTTTGGATGGAAACATATAGCATGACATAATATATTTATTTAAAAGGCAGCAAGCACTTTTGTTTTAGTGGAACTTCAATTGAATTTTGAGTACAGCTGGAAGTTATTGTATTTACATGTTTCAATTGAAATGTAAATTTAAACGGGGTGCGTTTCTTAAGTTACATTGAATCATAACATATACATCAACAATTGGTCTCAAATTTTTACACACACACAAAACTAGATATTGTGAACAAGCAATAATAATGATATTGTATTACATACATGCAACATAAGGCAACTGTAACTAATCGTTTCTGAGGTAATAGGATCAGTGTCAGGTAAAGGATTATTTAACGTATAGTAGTGATGGCACAATAATATTTTTTATACATATTAATTTACCCAATACTGGGGATGATTTAAAAATGCTGGACGACAAGCTGTAAATGTAAAGGTCATCCATTTGATATTTTTCTGTTGTGGAGACGTCCTTGAATATCCCATCCCCCGGCCCTATTCCAACCCTTTCTGATCAGACCAATAACTTTCCCAGAGGGGCGGACAGCTGTGAGGCTCAAAGGCACAAAGCCAGACCCACTGCCTATTCACGCTCTGCCAGGGCCCATAGGGAGGGCAGGCGGATCACTGACCACTGAATAAGACACAGGCTCCCATTGCATCGCCCAGCACACTCCATCTCCCATGGGACGGCCCTCTGAGGACAGAAGGCTGACCTGAGAGCTTTCATCTCGCCTCTTTTCAGCTTCATCAGCGTCACCCGTATAGGGAAAGAAAATTATAATTCTGAAGCATGCGGCCATTAAACTGAGGTCACATACTTCAAATAAGATAAATGTCATAAGTAAGGAATCAATAGTAAGTAGAAAAATGAATGTGGCTTGAGGATTGTACAACTCTAGGGATATAAAAATGTACAAATAGTTGGCATGTCAAACAAAAGCGCAACAATTATTCTAACCCCACCAGATGGTTTTGAAAGCTCTTGTCATGCTTTTTACAATGGCAAGATATTTGTAGCACTGTAATTTCTAGACAATTTCTTACTAAATGTCAATGGATGCGAGACGTATGACTCCACTTGTAATTATGGCCTCTGAATATTTTGTGCCCATCAAATGGCAGGGCAGTAAATTAAATACACTTGCATTGATCTCATTGTGGTGGGCTATGTGTCAGATAAAAAGATCCAATGGAAAAATCCCCGGAAGAAAAGTTATGTCTCAAAATAAAGATTACAGTATGGCTGCAAATTGTTTAGTTTTGCTTGTAATTTAGTAAACTGATGTAATGTAGTTAAAGCATACATTAGGGAGGTGTAATGAGGGGGTAAATGCACTATCCCTTGAGTCACAGGTGAATGATAACAGCTCAACAGATAAACACACCCTCCTCCTCCAATGGAACAAGCCACCCCCTCTCTCCTCATCCTCCTCGAGGCAAAAAGAAGGTCCCATGGGAGAGCCTGCATATATATCGCTAAGCACCACCACACCCCCGCCCACACATGTCACTGCTTACCCTACCATTACTGTCCTAAAAGAGTCCAACGCTAAGGGACGAGAGAGAGAGATGCTCCCCCCTCCCTTCAGGGCATTTTGGCTTTTCCATACACTTCCATGTCCCAATATAACACCGTGTCATTTGTGGCGCTACCCGTTTCTCAATGTATGAATTTAAATAGACATGTCTTGTAAGTTCTTGACATCTTTTTAAGACTATGATGGCGCATTATGGCTTTTGGATTCCTTGAAGCTAATGTCAATCCTAAACTTGACATGATTCATGGAGTTAATAAAATATATTTTGAGTAAGAAGGTCTACTAAAAAATACAAGTGATCGATAAAAATGATTTCCAGAATGAGAAAGGTTTTCCACAACCCTAAATAGAAAGCACTATTAGATATGATTTCCCATTTAGAAAAATTTGTGGAATGATTTTTATCCTTATAAACGTTTAATGAAAACCTGGAACTAAAATGATTTCAGCACTCGATATAATATGATTGTTATTTGAACGTGCAAAAAAAAACACATCCATTCTTGTGATGACAAGCAGCAGCCAAACGTGTTACGAGCTTGTCTTGATATAAACACATTATACCACGAATGCCAAATTGCGACGCATCAGTACAAACGCACAGCACTAGAAGCACACCCAGATTTCTCCTCCTCCATTCCATCTCTTACTGAATTTATCTCCATTTTAGACCCTCCCTTGTTGTCTCACCATCTTGTCCAAATTGCTGTCACGGGTCTCTTGCGAAAAGCAACACTATAATTATGTTAACATGCCAATGTGACCACTTCCGGTCTGGATTTAATTCCCAGGGCATCTTCAACGGCTCGTGGATTCCTTTGGCATCGACGCCACAGGAGAAAATGGCTTCAGAGGGTCTCTACGGGCCGAACACAAGCCCTTTGAGGCGGTTTTGTCTCAGTGCAGGGAAATGAGTGTGTGTGATGGGGTAAAGTCGACTAACACTAAACAGGGAAATGATTTTTAATAGTTGCTAAAATGCTTTAAAAAATGGCAGTCACCTGAATTCAAGCAAGGACTTATCTGTTAAAACTGTTAATAATGTGTGTGTGTACTGTAGTTAATGTATACTACTAGATAGATTGTATTTACTATAAATGTCCCTTAGAGATGATACACCTCTATTGCTTTATCATCTTTTGAAGTGGTCCAACCTTGTGGAATTTTTATTACCAACATTCACCAATCATCTTCACAATGTCTGTCCACAACAATAATAAATCTCTTAAGCACAAAAGCGTAGTGAAACCGAATGAACCGCTGACAGGATATTAGGCAGCATCATGTGAGATTCAAAGTCCATTTCCAATCTCAACTTTATAATGATCAAACTCAGGCCAGTGCGGTGAAACTATTGAGGGGTAAACTAACGTGGGTGATGACTGACAACTAACATGTGCTCCCAATCTGCATTTGTTTTCATTAACCACAGTAATACTCTGCAGCTGGAAAACGACCCACAAAAAGAATAATGTCAGTCCATCATAAGCTCGTGCTCAAAGACAGCCTTTAGACTTCGATAACTTTGTTAGAACGAGGGCTCTACAATATGGTAGAAATTGCATAATCAAGATGTATGTTTATTTTATTGTCATAATCATAATGATCAATTTATAATAAGACTAATCTCAAATTGTGTCACCACCATTTTGAGTTTTAAATATTCCAGCAGCAACAATATATTTTGGACATAAAATGGCCCATACCTGTGGACGTAGTGCAGTTGGTGAACAGAATCTATCGCCAGCACCATCTCGGCCAGGTAAAACTTGGCCATTTCCTCAGGAAGACGGTCCTCAAATTTACTGAGTAAAGTCAAGAGATCACCGCCGACGTAGTAGTCCATTACAAGGTACTGCAGACAAGGAAAAAAACATGTCAGGAACAATTATAACCTAAAAAAAAAAACTCATATTAAATATGTGTGTCAAAGATCAATAGATTGTCTATTTCTGATGCACTCATGGTTCTTGGTTTAAACTATTAAGCCATTAAGCATAGAAAACACAATCTCCATCCTTTCCATTGACGATGCTGAATATTGCATGCTGTAGTGATTTTTATGACATGGAGCAGTGTCCCAAGACTTATGTCATTCACAGAGTAAGAGTAGTTTAACACATTCTCATGTGACTTCAATATAAACAGATAATGCACATGTGGTTTATGAATGGGCATAAACTCCAGCCTCACAGTGCTATGTCCAGTTTCTCACACTACAACTCCTCCTGGAGAAGCATTGGAGCAGAGAGCCAGCACTTTTCAGGAGTCTTCTAAAAATACAAGTGGTGCAAACGATATAAACCTCTGGGAGTGTCCCGACGAAGCATCTGCTGTGAGAATGTGGGAAATGGAATGAGGAGCAGCCGCGGCATTTGAACAGAAGGTCACTGTTCGATCGCAAGACTAGCCAACGTAAAGACTAGAAATTATCACGTATTCATACATTGATTTAAGAAATAATTGAACGGAATGTCTATTTTAACATTCCAACTAAAGGCTGGCCTGTGGTCAAGCAGTTAAAGCTTCTATGCCAGTTCTGAGTGTGTATAGTGCTTGAATTCCACGTCCAGCAGCATTTCATGTAAATTAGAGCCTATGGTGGAAACGTATTGAAGTCAAAGATGATAAATAAGCAAAGCGACACTTGTATGATGGAAAATACAAACATTATGGAGGCTAGAATGTGACCAGATTAAATAAAAAATTGTGACCACAGTTACTTTCCCATCTTTTTCTTGACTTTTATAATAAATGCAGGTTCTTGATTCGTTACCTAATTTCCTACAAGTCTGAGTCATGCTTTTCTCTGTGGGCGGAAGTGCACATTACAGTGTCAGCAGCGACTGCAGAGGTGGAATGGCACACTGAAAATGAAGGGATGAGTGACGTGGAGAACATGACAGGTGGAGCGAGTGTTCCCGGCTCGGCGGGTGTCGACTCAAAGTGTAGGAATGTGCAAATACGAGACTTGGATCAGAGTGAGAAGTAAGGAAAATTTTAAGTGGTTGCTGGCAAATCAGAATGACCACTTCCATGAAAAGAACAAAAGAAAAAGGCTTGTTCTGGATCACTAACATGAAGAGTGTACCGCTCAATACAAACGTTTATAGAGGACAAAAACAAACCACAAAACCACAGTCTTTCTGCACCAAGAGTGGGGTTGAAATTAATACAATAGAGAGAAAGGGTTGAGCAGCATTTGCAGGTGCAGGTAAATTGGAAGGCCTTTGTTTCCGCTAGCAATGGGCCATTAATGAAAAATGGAGTAAAGTTGGACTGGACAATGTGGTGATAAAATAGTGAGCGGAGATTCACTTCTTTTTTTAATAAAGCAGAGTACTCAAACATTGTTAATAACGCAGTCCTCCTACTGGTTTGTTGGTGACGCTCTGACAAGGTTAAACCAATTAAAAAGAAATGTGAAATTTCTGGAGAATCAATACCACTTTAGATGCCGCTTTAAGGCGTTATAACTAGGGTAGGGCGATATGGGCCTCAGCATGTATCACGATTTTTGTTGGTATGTATCGCGATATGACGATATGATAATTTTAACAAAGCCTCATATAAAAGCTATAAAAACTTAGCACTGATAATTTTAAACACACTTGCCTCAAAGTGCATTTACTGATTTATTGGCAGCAAAATGTGCAATACAGCTATTGTATATAAAACGTATTAACAAAACTGAATTGTAGAGAATCCGGTTTTGGACATACTGAAAATTGCAGGCAACATGTAAGAAAGGTGAACATTTGTAATTTGTAAAATATATAAAAGTTTGTCCTTTGTAATATAAAAAGTGTAGCATTATCAAATAATTATTTGATCACTTTGGCTTATGTTTCCTAATTCCAATATAGTCAAAATGATCAAATACTGTATATATTTTTTGTATCCTTTTGCATTTCTACAATTATGTAATTATAACTTATTTGTAATTATATTGCAATGTAGACAAACACATGCATTGAAGTAAAATGAATGACAGTAAACAGTAAATAAAGCTTACCAATGGCACTATGAGAGAGAGAGAGAGAGCGAGTGTCCGAAGCGAGCCACTCGAGTCCAGTTGTTTAGGGCAGCTGCTTTCACAACATTAGATCCACTGTCGATAGTTACACACAATTGCTTCTTTTTATCTAGTTCCCAAACTACTCCCATATGTCTTCACCATGGTCTTCACCGCCGCCCTCAGCCATGTTTGCTCTCTGCTCTGTTGTTGTTGTCCCTGCACGCCGCTCTGCTACACGTGCAGCGCAGATGCGTCATCAAAGTGCGCCGCACACAAACGTGTCTTCCGCTTGCCGTTTTCAGTGTTAAATGATCGTTTTCACCGGTATAAGGCATTTTCTTATCATTTAATTTAATTATACCGGTACAAAAAAAATATCGCCCAACCCTAGTTATAACATTGATTTTGTGATGTGGCTACAGGACATACCAAATTATTGTCATCCTGGAAGGCATAGTGCAGAGTTGTGATCCACTGGCAGTCCCCGTTCACCAACACATCTCTCTCTTCTCGAAAACATGCAGTCTAAAAAAACAAACAAAAAAACATCTTGACACCATATACATTTAGAAGTAGACAAGCATTTCAGATAAGGACGAATCTGTAGATGTTCAAGTTACTGTCCCAAAACCAATTATATCTTTCATCAACACCAAATATTACTGTATAATCATCATAATCCTTCTTTAAACATAACAGTTTGGATTGAAGACACAATTGGTAGATGGGGAGTGAACAGTGACCCAAACATGACATGATTTACAGAGTGTATCAATCGGAACCAGGTTTTCGGCCTGTACGCACGGTTTTCCAGAAACACATTAGGTACAACATGGGGGCTTGGTTTATTCACAGCTCTTACATTTACTCGCAATGTTCGCATTATTGATCCCTTGCTATGGCAGCGAAAAACAGACAAACCGTTATGACAGAGCAGTTTGCGCAAGTACTACAGATTTCAATGACAGTTCTTCAATAGACGAGATAGAAGATGTTATAGTTGGTTTTTACCGGCTTTTGAAAACATGACAAAACCAAGCCTTTTAACTACACTTGTGTAGAAGATAAATGTATGTAACTGCAAATGTAATCTTCATAAACTTGTGAAATACACTAGAAGAGTACATTCATGTTTGGCCATTGTTTCATGTCTCATGTCTTTTGTGACGTCTCAGGGGAGCAGCGGGAGGAATGTCCGAGCGTCAGGGAGAGGTCAATGAGAAAAACATGCATCGCCAGCGTGCATGTCCAGCAAGCCTAATGTAGACTGTACAAGCACTTTGTTTTAAATCAATGCTATATAGTCCAAGTTTTGCGACCTCGCATAATATAGATCCATGTTATAGTAATAGAGAACAAACTTCTCCTTTTAAACCCCCTACAAATACACTATATGACCACTTAAAATAAGACACAGAAGACACACATTTCTGCAGAATCTGTTGTTTTACCCATTCATGAATAAAGAAACAACAATGTCCATTTGTGCTTGAATATCAATTATTGTGATAAGAAAATGCATTGACCCACCTCTGCTCGCTTTAGCATCTCCCACTTGTTGAGAATCTTCATGGCAAAAACCTTGTCTGTGTGTTTAACTTTTACAACTGCCACCTGCACAAAAACAAGACAAAAAAATACATGTCATTAGTTCTTTTTCTTAAAGAACTTTACAATATGTCACCATACTTAGAGTTGACAAAAGATTAAGTCATTTGGCAATCTTGAAACCAAAGGTATTTTACAAGACGATGACCAAATTATCGTTTGTGTAGGAAAGGACAAGCCGTCAGAAGTAGAGCAGTAGAATTGGTGCATGTATTGTTGTTGTCATTATGGAGCAGAAGAATTACCAATTAACCATGTTTTGCTTGTTGGTGAAAAGAGAATGCAATGATGAGCAAGCATGCTCAGCAATCATAGTTTATTGAACCCATTGCGGTATTTTGATCACATCAGTCATAAAGAAAATTAAACAAGATGCACTAAAAGATGAAGAGCAGCAGCAGCAGCAGCAGGCCAGGGGAGGCCTTTTAACAGCACAAAAATACTGTAGGGATGTAAACAGACAAGCTAAGGGGTCTGTAGTCTATTAAAAGGAGTGGGGAATGCTGCTAATGCAATACAATGATAACATTCCTCTGATGTTTGGATTTCCCGAAGCAGAGGGGAGTAGAGACAGAAAGAGGAGTATCAGGGAGAAGGGGCAAGAAGCAGGGAAGTATTTGCTGTTTTCTTCCTTAATTTCCACAGTTTTGACCTTTGCGCTTTTATGCCCACAAGGATATTTAGAAACAGAGATGGCTGATGATAGACGTGTTCAAGAAATTCAACCAAATAATGAGACTAATGCACAAAACACAAATGTGCATCTGATGCAGTTTTGATTCAACACTGAACAGTTACAGGCCTAAAATAATGTGTGATTCAGTAAGTTTGATTTAAATATGCTGGAAGTTGAAAATAGTAAACAGATTGACAAAAATCATGAATAGACTTGAACTAGTTTTTCTATTTCTGCAAACAATTGATTATAAGATATTTGTTATTGCTTCTTGGTGTGTCAGTGTTATTGTATGTTGTGCATTGTTCTCCAGCTTCCTTGCACCACTGTCCGTGTCTGCTGTCACTCGGACAAAACCAAAAACAAATTTTCCCTCAGCCTCGTGTCTCCCGATGTCGGTCCCTATGGGCATCCCCTGCTCTTTAACCCTGTATCAGTGCCATGCTTAATTTAGTGAAATGCACCCTTGAATGGCTCTGTGCTATCAAAACTCCCATACATTTTCATGAGGCTTTACCCAAACAGCCATTATTCATGTTGTCTGCCTTGGCCCTGCCTCTGCTACTGCTGCCAACCAACGGTGCTACTGCTGTAATCCCCACAGACGCATAAATAACGTGTTAGCGATCGTGACCGAAGTGATGAAAGATGCTCAGACTGAAAGCGGGAAATCATACTTTCATGATTGTATTTGGATTCACTTTATAAAACTACAAAAAGGCAAAGCAGATGTTTGGCAGTGGCAAGAGCGATTTTACAGATGAAAATCAAGAATTATATATGTACACCATTACATAATGATCTTTTATGCATTTATCTTATGCTTAGTGTGTCTATTGATACATATGACAGATGTAATGTACATTTAAAGAGGGTGCACCCAACTTTTTTATACATGAACGTTACATTCTGGCTTCTCCAAACATAAAGACTTGTAAAACACTTGTTATTAACGAATCACACAACAATTGTATCTAAATGCTGCATATTTTAAGAGATATTTTGTTTGAGACATGATTGGCTGAGTGAGGGGGGGCCACCAGTTTCCACTCGTTTGTCCAAGAAAGCTGATCTCACAGAGGACAAAAATATCTAAGTTACATTGAAAGCTAGTACCGAATTGTTTTGAAAAGAAGGAACAAGTTACATTGATTTCATCACATAGTAGTATTTCTTTGCAGTTTGAACTTTAGGTACCCAAGCTTCAATTCGGAAATAATTGTTTAGTCTGGACACTATTATATCAATATGTATCCACCATGAATGCTCAGAGTGCTGACATCTAAATGCATACGTCAAAATGCAAAGCAGTTCTCAAAGGTTACTTAAACAGCAGACTTCGTACACGTTGTATAAAAGTTTATAATGAGGATGTAGCTGACGATAAACTTGCTCAGAGTGAGGTAGACTCAATGATGCAGCGAAGGGGCAATAAAGAGATGAGGATCATTGCAGAGTTCAGCACAATGGAAAAGTCATTGTGGTTTGAAGTTCTGTCTACAGCCCTGTACAGACTCGGACCCCCTCCCCAGGTTTTGAAGACCATTGGTTTAACTAGGAAATGCGAGCATGTGTTGTTGAATAATGATTCTAGGGCAAACAAGGGTCACACCAAAAAGTGCATTTGGTCTGTTTGAATTTCAACCATAAAATATATATGTAACATAGCCTGGTCGAGTGGCTTGGGTTGTTAAAAGGAAACTAGGGCATCAGGAGGAAACCCACCCAGAAGAAAAGAGTACTGCCCAATCCATTTAAAATGTTGTAATAGGAAGTGTAAACGGGGTAAAAGACCTGAATCCAAATCACCACCATGTGCCCGTCTTCCTGTGACAAACCCAAGAAAAAGGACGGCCAAAAAAAACAATTGCTAATGTAATATTTTTAATAATGTGCCAACTGACTGTATGAGGTGTGGAAGCTGCTACTTCCTGCTTTTCATACAAATTAGCTTTATTAGCATCACGTTGCAAACCAGGAAGACATTTTATGCACCAGAGCATATCCCACATCGTAATGGGATTTGGTGAGGACTTTTAGGCATGGCTGTAAACAGTGGTGGTGCATTGAGGCACACAATGCAACATATGAACGTGCTTGTGTAAAGGTGGGTTAAGTGCAGCTGAGGGGCGATGGCGGGGCCTCTGGAGCTCGTTTGATTTTGTTGCCGTGTCTGTGAAATCCATACGGGATCACAGCTGGCCTAGTAAAAGACCACTGGAATGTGACCATAAGGAAGCACCACACAAGGGTCGCACCACTTCAGAAACACGCTGTTCTCGCTGCGTAGTGTGTGATGAGCAGTTGAAGTGGAAAAAAAAACATTGAACTTGGCCAATTGCCTTCAAAATAGAACGTTTTACAAATGGCACTTTTTTTCATATTTTCAGAAGTTTTCTCGGTTGTACACTCGCTAAGTGTTAAAAGGTCAACGGTTCAGAATTCCTTGGTTGAGAAAATGTGGGCCATATGTATAACTCATGTATGCATATATTTTGTTGAATTGCAGAAGCATCTTTCTATACTGACTTTCTATACTAGCCATTTTTAGCCAGAATTTGTCATCTGTATCCTGTCAGGAGCAGTGATCGCTACAGTGCAGCACCTTGGGACACATCTCCAGATGCAGACTCACACAGAAAGGCCTGGGCAGACACAGTATCGAACCAACAATATTCTTGCTGGGAAGCTTGAGTCACATTGAATGATGAAACATTTCCACTATTTTTTAAGATGAGAGTTTTAGTTTGGGAGCCAAAAATTGCACACAATAATTAGAATTAGTTTTGAGAAAACTAATCAATAGTTATAAAAACTAAAGTTAAAAAGCAAACACTATTTAACAAAGAGAAAAAATAAAATAATGTTACTTTGCACATGCAGAGGAGAAAGGAAAGGTTATACAAGGCGCTGGGAGTCGGAAGTGTTCAGATCATATCATATGCCACGCCTCAGCTTTATCAAATAAATGTGCCTCAGGTGATCTGAATGAATAGTGTGCATTGTCTCTTAACAACTTTTATAATGCTTAAAAGGAATTAATACATGTTACTGCATGTGCAGAGAAAACCATCTTTCCATTCATTCTTGCATTGATTAAGATTCATTTTCAGATTTTTGACATGGTTTCAAACCCATGCCCCTGTCCCTCACACAACACTACATATTGAGTTTTATAGCATGTATTAGGCTGTGGTGATTTTCTTTATGTTTTCATAACTCAAATCGACCCGAGTGATGATTTCAAACGCCAAACAAAGATAACTCGATGTTTGTGTTTGAAGAGCACACTTTTGGTTTAATTTATGATCTCATGTTTTACTTGTAGTAGATGCGCATTTATCAGATAGTATGTCAATATAGATTAAATTAATGGAAATGTCTTTATACAAACAATATTAAAGTCCTAACAGCAGAAACACCAAAGCAAGGGCACTCAAGACCCTGAAGCCAAAACAACCCCAAAAATGCATAATATTTGTTCTACACATAATAGTTGTATAAGATTTAAGATAAGATTCATTGCCGATCTAGCTTCAGGCTCTTTAATTGTGTTAATCTGTCTTCATCCATCTTCCTTAACTCTCTGAAGGAATCCACAACTTGTTTGTACAAATTTGCACCAAATACTTGAGCTGTAATTTTCTGCAAGGCCTGACATGACCCATGGATTGTTTTCTTAAATTCAAAAACGACTCTTGCAGATAAAAGATTTGTGATGTTATGCAAGAGTTTTGGTAAGAAGAACAATACCTGTCGCTCCAACATTCCCCAACTTTGACATCATCACCTGAAACTAAGTGACAGAACTGAGAACTTTCCCTGCAGGCATACAAAAACCTATACGGACCATTATGCACTTTCTCTATGCACACTTGTGGTTGTATTTCAAGAGGTGACAACCAGGAGAAAGAATTAATAACTTTTTTTTTAAGAAGCGGCAAGTAGAGTCACGCTCCTGGGCAGACTAATGCGACGCAGTGCTGCAGGAATGCGGGACAAAGTCATTCACGATCAAACAACAATGCTGCGATTTACGGCCAGAGTAAGAAGCCGAGAGGACTGTATAATCTCCAAGCGCTCAGGGAGCGGAGAAATATTACTTTGTTTGGTTTCCAACTAGCACCTGTTTGACTCTTTTCCATTGCAATTCCAACTTCCATTCCACTTAGTAACATTTTTCATTGTGTAACTTTTCTAAAGGATGGTCCACCACCTGCTTGTCTGGAAAGTTGCACAGTTTGGAAGATCTGTGAAGGAGAGACGCCGCTCACGCAGAGAGAATGCACGTTTTTGAAGATCTTTCAGATCTATAAAAATGGGTGAAATTGAATAGAATAGAAAATGGAAACAGTTAATGGCAAACTGGAACATTTCAGACATGCAGGCGGTGTACTCTCAGCATAAATTGTTTCCTGAGAGAATTCTCATTCCAGTGTTTTACCAAAAGAAAAAGATTGCAAAATGCGTTTCTTGCCATCGGATAAAGATAAATTATGAGGCCCAATCTCATCAAGAGGAAAAATAGAATGAACACAGTGTAGCTCAAACGTCAAGTGTGAGAGTTGTGTAAAAAGCGAAAGGCACCGTACCTCTCCAAAAGCTCCTCGTCCAATCACCTTCAGGATCTCAAAGTCCTCCTTGTGCAATCGCATCTGCTTCACTTTTGAGGTGAACGGTTTGGCTGTAAAGAGACAAAAATTACATGAGTCCAAAAATAGTAGGGAGCATAACAAAGTGTACCTTCTTGGTATTTAATGAATTGACTGTACTGCCTCCTCTACAAGACTATATCTGATTACATTGACCACATTCAAGAAAATACAATGAGTGTAAGTATTCTGCACCATTTAGGCGTGCAACAAAATGAAAAAATAAATATAAATATATTGGACAACCGGCATAACTGACTATAGAAAAATGGACTGAAAATAAAAAATATATGTAATTTGCTATTAAGTGTGTAATACGACCATGTATGGGAGGGGTAACCGGGGTAAAAAAAAAAAAGCTTTTTTGGTTTTCACTCAAAGCACTTACTGGCTATTTTAACCCTTTAGGAGCCAGATTTTTTTCAGAAATGACAAAGGATGGAGCCCTGAAACTTTAATCAATTTGAACTTGATGAAAGACATTTAAGAAAATAGAAGGGGGCTGTAGTGGTAAGTCAGGTTGCTGTATAGATAGTGTAATGAATTCAGGAGATAATGCCACCGATATAATACAATGATCCTTTCATGCTTGTATCAAAAAACAATATCTACCGTATGGCAATCCTGTGCTGCTTTAACTTCTGTAATATTTATAAAGTGGGCAAGTACAGCCCCCAGACCGTATCTCGCTCCCACTGACCACCTGGGCCCGGGACCACATGACACCGGACGTAGCCATGGTGGATGATAAAGCTGCCTATTGTTATGACTGTGCTCATGGTTCTCGGTGGCTAAAAGAGGCGCTTGGGTCACGATGCTCACTCACAAAGCTCAACATAGAGATTTCATCTGTGGCATTTCCCGCATTTGTGGAGAGCTATTCAAGCACTTCCTGGTTTACGTGATCCCAGCAGGCAATTGGTTAGATGTTTGCCAAGGTCATCCAATTGGTGGCTATAATATGCTCTCGGGGCTCTGATAAGAGGCTTGAAAGTTACTGTGATCATTGAGCGCAGAATACAAGGACAGTGTTCTTGGTAAAATGTAGAATTCAACAATTTCACAAAATTAGTAAGCGGATGTCATATTTTACCAAAGAATTTAATCGCATTAAATTTTGCAATGATCAACACAGTGGAAGGCGACCTACATTATTGCCATTTGACATTTTTGTTTCAGTTAGTCTTTGCCAAACACGTCTGGGTTTGTGGAAGCTGACCACCTGCCAGGCAAACGCTAAGCTTGTGTGAAATCCCACTTTGGCTGAGCATCATGTTTAGCGCTACTCTTTGCCAGGTTTTTATAGTCTTGAGTGAAAAAGGGAGAGGGGAAAATGATGTGTCAATCACAGCTTATAGTCTGCAGATAAGACAACAATAGGATAGGACGCCACACACGCTACTTCTGGGCAAACACCACCACCTCTGTCCTGATTTTTGCCAAAACAGTAAAATGTATTTAAACTTATAAACCCTCACCCAATGTATGTCAATAAACCTTTTAGCTATGTTTTTCAGGTGCAGAGTATTGATTTGGCCTTTGATGAATTTCTTACATAACTTCTCACACACACTCTAGTAACAGAGAAAGCCTTAATCAAACTGCAAAATCAGCGTTGTGACCTGGGAAGACCCAAGATTAATGATAGGAGTGCTGGCCAAACTAATGTCATAATTTTCACCTCGAGCTATAAAGACTGAAACCCTGAAAAAGCTGAAAATTCACACAAGTGACAGCATGAGACGTGCTTCTCTGATACATGATCCTCATTATCTTATGATAAACATATTCCTTTTCAAATAACTAAGCAGTGAAGACAAATGAGATGGAAGTCTGTTCGGACCAGGACTTTAAATATTGAAATGAATTGATCTCAACTAAATGATTTTTGAAACTTGTCAGATTATTTAATAATGGATTAATAGACTGTTGAATCACATTCCTAGAGACCATATAGATTGAAACATGCTGTGAAGATGTTCTTGAATCTCAAATAGGTGATAATACTGCAGAATCTAATAGAAATCTGTTAACAAGCATTTCAAATCAAACTACTAATTGTGCGACAAGTATCTCTGAAGCAGTTCACTTTTGTAAAAAATGATGGAAAATCTAATTTTCATTGGTCTTTGGGGATCTCATTGCTCCAGTCAATATTGATATATTTATTGCAAGCATTTAGAGGGACACACATTGAATAGCTCACAATATAATGTTTATTATTTAAAAAAATGACATTTAATGTGCTCTTGCAAGTTACTATCATATTTCTGGATCATGGCAACATGAACAGCAGTAAAGATTAAGGTAACTAATTAAATCAAATGCTACGTATTCTGCAATGTACGTCATGATATCTTAGGCCCTTGCACTGTTATGTGTATAGTTGTTATAAATGTGCAAGGTATAACTAATAGTCACTAACAAATGTAAACCAAAAAAGGTTTACATTTGTTAGTGTAATCCTTTTTAGTGCTATTCACTCAGGCGGCACGGTGGCTGAGTGGATAGCACTCTCGCCTCTCAGCAACAAGGTCCTGGGGTCGAATCCCGGCCGGACCAGGGCCTTTCTGAGTGGAGTTTGCATGTTCTACCCGTGTCTGCGTAGGTTTCCTCCGGGTACTCCGGTTTCCCCTACCACTAAAAATATGTACAATAGGTCTGACATGCGTCTCCTGTACAGGCGAGAGACAAATGCCTAAAAATAACAGTTCTAAACCGCTTTGAGACTCAGATCTGCAGTGAAAAGGCGGTATATAAATAAAGATTACTACTACTGTGGGGATGAGGAGGAGGACCTGATGCATTTGTTTTATTTTTGTGGCTAAGTTTTGGGTCAGGGTGCAGTTATGGTTAAGGTCTATGGGTATTGCTTTGCAAATTACACCTCAGAATATTGTGTTATGTATTTTTGAGGGTGAATGCACATACCTTTTGAATATGATTATTCTGATGGGTAAAATGTTTATTTTTAAAGCTAAAAATGTATCAAATTTATGTATAAAACACTTAAGAATAGAGTTTATCATCAGTATATGTTAGAAACAATTATAGCAACAAATAACAGAATAATTGAGCATGAAAAGAAATGGAATGTCTGCTTACCTGAGTTAGAGATATAAATATTGAGTGTACTTGCTATGCCATTTGTTATGTCGTAAATGTTTTGCTAATTATTTTGTATTTTGTTTATGGATTTTGATTGGTATTAGTGACTTTATTTTATTTCTCATTTTCTATGTTATTATTTTCTTTTGCTTTGTGCTTTTTTGTCTATAGTCTGTGTTCAAAATACTAAGAATGTGTGGATGATTGTGGTTGTGATTGTGGTATGAATGTAAGGGGGAGTGGTGGGGGGTTTTGAAGTTTGTCTCGTTATTTTATCTTGTAAATAAAAAGAAAATAAAAAAAATAAAAAAAAAGATTACTACTACTTTCATACATGTTGCCGTCTTTTATAAAACAGCAACATGTATGAAACATGCAGCACTCAAAGTCTCCAAAAGGTCTTTTACTGACACTTTTCAAATGAATAGGAACAATTTCGCCTCATTCCATTGAAGTTCACACAGTGGCCATTAATTTGCTACGCTGTCTTGTAATTTATAAGAGGAACTATATTTTACACAGATTCATCTTTTGGAAAGCTGCATCAGTTTACAGCACTGACAGGAAACAGACAAAGAGAAGCAAGTCCTTGAGCTCAACCAGGTTCACACAAGGAATAATGCGCGTGTCTTTCCTATGAACAAGGAGGACGGCTACACTCGAAAAATACCTTACAGCTGGGCTGAAACATAGCAACGGTTGTCAAGACAAGGTACACTAAGGAAGTCATTGAAGAGTTTTGCAATAGGCTGGAAGTTGAGTCATTGTGACGAGTGACGACAATGTTGAAACTTATTACAGTAGGATTTTGGGGACAGAAGAGAATTCTGCAGGCCAACGGATCAAAAACCTGGGGTGCTACGAGTCAGCACAAAACCTACACTTTTTACCAGGGCATACTCAGTGTGAACACCCTGATCAACCGAAGTGAAAAGATTGAGATAGCTTGTTGTGTACCTCGTTGGGAAGGTAACTACTCAGACCTGTAGTTGAGGGACAACATAAATCGAGAAGAGACGAGACAAGATAAAAATGTGAAGAAAACTACCCAGTTCATTATTCATAAATTATAGATTGAAAACTGTTTTCGTTAGACAATTTGAAAACAATTTAGTTTCAAAAAGAACATTTTTGTTTAGTTTAGTTTTAATTTATTGTGAATAATAGATTTGTGGTAATACACTAGAAAAATGTGTGTTACGCCAGCTAATATGTACAGCCTGACTGGTTTAGCCCAAAATGCACATTGCATGTTAGGCTTGTCCTGCTCCATACCTCCAAGTCAGGGAGAATAAGCGTAAGTCCGGCCAAGTGTGTTCACTTAGCAGCTGAAGCCACAAAATAATAGGCTGCAACCGAGACTTGGCCTGGTTTTTAACATGCAATACTGAATCCTAAGGGTGTGTTCCTGAGAATTTATCAGAATAGAACATTTCTACAAAGTCCTTGTTGCAAATTAAATCACCATTAGCCAAAATAGCTCCCTGCAGACTGCAGAAGTCTATGCAGCGAGCTGCCAAAAGACACACCCACCATTTCTGTCAAACACTCACCTGACACATGCAGGCTGAATGCCTTTCCACTGTCCACATTTCTGTCGTGGTTTCTCACACACTTTCAGTTGGACATTTTGCAGTTTACTTTCAAGGGATGAAGGTGTATACATTCAAGGTGAGGTTGTGTTGGCGAGTCTTTTAAGCAGATGAAGTATCCACATGCTTTAGAAATAGCTTGATGCATTTCAATCAAAAGTGTGATATGTAAAAAAATAAATGTTTTGCTTTATTCTTCAAATCAAATGTGAAGGAAACAAGTGCAAATCATCCACAGTAGCTTTAGTCAAGGCCATATTGGCAAAGAAGCCAAAACAAGATTCAATATCTTTTCTCAAGCTGTGCCAATGGAGTGTACCAACTATTCAGAA